TATATACAGGTAATTGAGAAATAGCTGTATTAAGTTTAAAAACATAGTTACTTTTTAAAAACATAGAATAATTTTTTGAGAATCTAATTTTAGACTTGGAACCTTTTATATGAATCATCACAATTCATTGACTTTGTACTTACATCAAAAAATGTTTGTCACACTGAGTACCAATCACCACAGTATATGCTCAACAAGTTTATTTATTTACAGTAAAAAAAAAAAAAAAGAAAAAGAAAAAACTTAAAGTAAGGCATAAACTATCAGATACAGTACATATCAACTTTCTTTTCCCTCATCATCGTCAGTTCCTTCGTCAATGAAGGGTGGGAGTGAATTTATACAATCAATGCTTTATACAATCAATTTAGTTGTACAAAGTTTAACAAAAATATATCTAATTTAGAATTTTCTCACCGCTTAAAATTTGGAGATCACTTAGCTTATTGCCAATAACTTTTAGATAAAGGGAAAATCGACCAAAGTGGATGTGATATTCTGTAAGAGGATAAAATTGCCTACAAATTGGTACCATGCACTTCTTGAATATACTCAAAATAAGCAGCCAAAAGTCGCACCCGAACAAAAAGTGTGAAAAACACAGTTTTCAATGTATTTCTTATGGAAAGCATTTTTTTTATTTTTCACCATAAATCATAACAAAAACAAACTTTCATAATTATTTGCAAATCTACACGAGTTAAGCTTTCCAACGACACAATAATTAATCAAATCGGTCCAGTAGAACTCTAGATTTACAAATATTTTTAAAACTGAATTATATATAGAAATAGATAGTAGTATTTACTGGACAAGTTTGAATGATGGGCTAAGTGCGCTTTGTGGCTGTTTGAAGCATGGATTTAAATGGCTTCATTCGGTAACAATTTAAATTAAAATATATATTGTTATACATTTTTGGAAAGTTCATAAAATAGGTAAAATGTGTTGTTACAATGACGTACTACCTACTGCAAAACTAGACGTTTGGCCTAATCTACAACTTAACGTTTTAAATAAAATAATATTTATTTTCTATCACATATAAAACCCCACCCAATAGGGATAATGCTACATGTAAGGTTATTTTATTGAAGTAAATTTAACGGGGAGTTCAAAGAAAAAGCAATTATGCTGATAGCTCGTTTACATCAAAAGATATAGGTGATTTAGTAAAACACTACACTTTCAACCAGGTGTTTGGGGAGAGGGGGGGTTTTAAGGGGGAGCAAGGGGGGGAAATTTGGGGAACTTTCAGAAAACACCCTTCTTATTATATACTATCACCACGCAAAAAATCAGCTTTACATCTTTCATGTCTAGGTTCTTACCTAAAGTGACTGGGCTAATAGGCTTTTACAATTTCATAGTTTGTGATGTATTCTTTTATCAAGCATCTGAACTTTTTCAAGTTTACATTTGTTTACATCAAAGCAGATGGCCAATATAGAATTTTGTTTACATCCATACGCAAATGGAGTTGTATATGGTGATGTTTCAGTGAATTCAAGTAAAATGTTGTAATGCTATTTGTATTAAAAATGTAAAGAAGAAAATTACTTACATTAGGTTTTAGGTTGTGATAGGATTTTGTGTTTCCAAAGTATGTTATTGATGGTTTAGGGAATTCAAGTAAAATGTTGTAATGTTATTTGTTTAAAATGTAAAGAAGAAAATGACTTTGTAAGTTTTTGAATTTTCATAGTATGTTTCATTAGTATTCGTAATTTTTCAAAGATGTCTCGAACGCATCTTTTTCATTTGTACGCAATTAAAATAATACGGATATGATGAGACATAATCGTTTACATTCTTATTAACTATGTATCAAATATATCACGGATTTTGAAGTCCCGAAGTGACGCAGGCTGCAAGTATAACTTATATTGTTTTTACCCTAAAAATGTATGTTCACCCTTAGTTTTTTTTTTTTTTACGATGATTATTGTTACTCAACATGTGCTATAGTTTACAATAAGCTTATGTTTTGTTTGGTTAAAAGTTAACATATTCGGGAGAAATCAGTTTCCACATCAGCGCGATCTACCTGTGGCTCATCTCAACTACGGCTATTTGCATTTTAAGACTAGCTGCAGCTTCAACGTAAAGAATGGTATGTCTAGTATCAATAGTCGAAGGTCACATGGTTGATATGTATTCAGCAAAATAACATCGTTTTTTTACCACTCATGTAAAAACCCTAATACTAATAGATTGCTGTCGTTCACATTGAAATAATTATTATAATGAAACTCGATTAAAGTTTACCTGACTAAAGAAAAAAATACTTACCTGACTGTTTACTACTTTATGTTATGTTGGTAAGTTACACAGTTAATTATTCCTTTACGATGAATAATTTTGTATTGAATTCATTCAATACTCAATGTTTGTTAATTTAATTATTTGGAGGGTACTTTAATGTTGGATGTGGCATAAAATAAATTGTTTCCCCATGAAAATTTTATCCACTGGAGAAAGCTTGAGGCATTCTGATTACTACTTTTTCTGCATTTCTGTATTAAATGGGATAAATAAACGTACTTCATTCTAATAATGAGTTAATTGGGGAACGAGTTTTCCAATGCAAGTATGATTTCAAAATCTGTTTATAATTCGTTTTTGATATTTTAATACTCTTCGATACGGTCGTTAGGAATCCACTCAATACAATCAGACTATATAAAATCAAACAGTAAATTATTATGCCTACCTGTTGCCAAATTTCTCATTTACGTATGCGTATTTTCATCTCCTCACCACCAAAATTTCTCAAATTGATTTTATTTTCACACTATTCCAATTCCGCTCAAATCATTCAGCGTGGTTTTGCACGTTGTCGTTTCATTACACGTTATCTGTCCGAGATATACGTTTATCTTTATTGCGCCTCGGCACGAGTCTACTAATGATGATTATACTAGGTATTTCTCTTATCTTTATTTCGGATTTGAATGTCATTGAACAGTGAGTGTCAAATTTATTTGAGATGTTTCCCATACGTGACGAATACGGAGCGGTTTTATTTCAAGCATGAAGGTCTCAGATGTGAGGTGATTTTTCAGTTTTACATCTTAAATATGAAACATTTTTGTGTGTGTTACACAAATTTTATTTGACCATATAGCTTGTTAAGATAAAAATCAAAGATTGCGTTTATTCGTTTGCAGCTAAATAACCTTCAACGTTGATAGAGGATAAAGTTCTACATTTTTGAGAGCAAAATGTAGTTCTAATCTGAATCATTCTTTGTTACTTTTGTTTTTCAAAATGTTAATCTAAGACTTATTCTTCATTTAAATCAAATATATCATTTTATAAACCTTGGACTAACATAATAACCAACTATTTATAAGCCAACTTTATAACATACATAGCCTTTTTACTTTAATTATTTTCTGCAGAAAAAAGCAATAGTTTATTTATCATTCTATCACAGCTGGTTTACCTGTGATTATTGCAATACTTAATTTCAAACGATTTGCAAAATGAATAAATTGGTGACAAAAAATGTAGTTTCAGTACTCGAAACCGTGGTACTTTCGCAAACCAAAAAACATTTTCATCTTAGTCAAGATAGTTTAGGTTGATAAGGCTGATACAAACTTTACCATAATATTGATGTTACTATCTATCTAACTTTAGTTATATTTAACTAACTGTCAAAGCACTATTACCTTGACAGATCTATCAAACTATACCTGGAGTGTAAGATTAAATTATTAGTCTTATTTCTTACTAACCATGGTATAGTTAACAAGTAAACAATTGGAGGTCACCTCTTTATTCAGAGATTAAAATTTATATTCAGAAAGACTAACAGTATTGCAGTTTGAGTTATACGTGTATGTGGTATTTGAATAACGGTAACGGTGTGTACAGTGGACTTTTAAAGATTACAACTTCCCCTAAGTAAAGATATAAGTAGAATCTGCTTCATCGCTTTTACGAACAACACAAAAAGAATCAATGATAAACCGTTTACTTTAGAAAACATGTCAGTTTAAAATTTCCTTTTAACAAATTTTATCAGTGTGGAGTGGTTATAAAAACTTACTTTTGATACTTATATAGAATTTTCAGAATTGTTTTTGTTTCATAATTGCCATCAAAAACAGTCAATTTCAGTGTTACCCTACTTAACAGCTTTTACAACAAAACCTATGCCCCCCTTTTTAAAACGTTTTTATTAGCTTGCTCTCTTGTCTGTTTCGTACTAATTTTGCAATTGATTTTTAACCAACAAAGCACGCAACAAGCAACCATCTTTGATGGCACGCTTTTCTCTCTAGTAGTTTTCACGTGATAGAACTTCAGAGCTACAAAGGTTCATACTTTCACATTTATAATGTTAGTAGGATAAGATAATCCAGGTAGCAGAATGGATTTAGAAACAGCATGTCTTGATTATCAGCCAAAGTCACAACCACTGAACTATTTGGATTTGGTGGTTTTTTATTCCTCATCTTTACTAGGTGGTATAGGCCTATGTGTCTTGGGGTCATACTAAATCTGATGTTTATTTTTCAAAAACTTAATAACTTCTTGATCAGCATCGTACTTGTTATTAAATTACCTGAAAAAACACAAATTATATGTCTAATAACACTACTCTTTGTTTGAAGTTCATTGTTAATGATAGTGAGTTTATGTTGTTCAAAGGTTTATTGCGGACATTTTCCATCACAATGGTAAAAAGCAATACACAACGTTTCGGGATCTGGAATCTGATCCCGTCCTCAGGTGAAAAAACTTAACTAACACATTACAACTAACAATACACAAACGCCCAACCTAAGTTGCAATACACTACAGAGGTTCCTAGATCCTGGATTCGCCTATTGGGTCTGATGATGATTGGAGTGTCCAATCGAAATCAATCACCACTTACCATCTTTCACATGTATTTACCGTCTTGTGATTCAACAGTATAAGTGTAAATATATCATTACTAGTGTTAGTTATTAGACGTATAAACTTAAAGTGTTTCCCTCTTCCAGATAACTCAGACTACTGTATACCAAAGGAAGAGTCGAGTGATGATTTCCCGGCAGACATTTTCACCATGAACCAAAGGAAGCATGGAGCCATCGTCATACATGTATGCGTCGGACTCTACTTCTTTATCGTCATCGCATTTGTCTGCAACGACTACTTTCTCCCCTCTGTTGACTGTATTTGTCAAGGTAATAAGGTAATAATTCTTGCACACATACCTATCTAGTAGAGTTATTGCAAGAATGTAATGGAAATGCACAATTTATCACTGTTATGGAGGTTATGGTTTGCCTGAATAGACTAAATGAGACTTAGTTTGAGAAAATAACTGCAATGAGTTCTTACACTTGTTGACATTATGAACTCAATTAAATAAAATTAATTTTATTGCCGTTAAACTCATTACAGGCATTGGGGTCACATTCAATATAAAAAAAAGTGTTGCGTTGTTTTCTCTAAGATAAAAAATCCTTAACACTATAAAAAGCAAAGTATAACTTCTTAAGCTGGCTCTCAAATTTATGATAGTCTAATTAATCATTCTAGCATAGTAAATGGTCAATTAGAATTAGAATCATGCAAGAAATGGAGGTTTAAACATAGATTAAAATCTATGGTTTAAATACCGAGAAGGCGAGGTTATTAAAGGGAAGATTACGGTATTTGAATAGAAAAGTTACTTATTGATATTATTAAGGTTCTCACTAAATTTCACGTTAAAATGACTATAAACATTTCTGTTATTTCCTATACAAAAATTGTATTTTTTTACAGGTAATAAGACGGGTAGGGTGACGAAAAAAGTATATTACGTCAACATTTTTTGAGTTTCAGTTTTGAGTGGAAATGTCTATTTTTGGATCCTCCTGAACCCAAAAAGAGGTTGAAAAAGTCACGTATGCATGTGTGTACAGAGCTACAGACTACACCATAGTCCAATTTTGATAAAATTTGTTATGAAGGTAAACCTACTAAATCCATGGTATCTACAGGTTTTTGGGGGAATTTGATTTTTAATGGTAGTTTTTCCATAAAATAACAAAAATATTTTATATTTTCATAAAAATAACCTTGAACTATTTTGATTAAATTTTGTTATGCTATATGGACCTTAAAATACTAAACAATACTGTAAACATATATCCACATTAAACTATTATATTAACTCCCTACCGCTAACTATGATAAAGGTTGTTGACAAGCTAATGGCAGAAAGTGGGTGATAAATTTCTGATAGTGTTTATTAAAAAAATTGTGTACATCACTCTTTATACATGCAATGTCTACTTCAGTATCCATAGTCAATTATAGTTCCATGACTCATCTGAATCTTGCTTGGTCTTTGTGCAGACTTATCGCTTAGTCAAGACGTCGCTGGAGCTACCTTCATGGCACTCGCTACTTGTACGCCCGAACTGTTCACCAACCTGATTGGGACGTTTCTGACGGAGAGTGACCTAGGGGTCGGGACTGTAGTAGGCAGCGCTGTCTTCAACACTCTCGGAGTACCCGCTTGTGGAGGTCTGGCCGCTACTACAGTAAGTGACAATTTGGGAATAACCTAGGGAATTTAGTATCAAGAATACACAGCACATCTAGCAATCATTAGTGTGAGTTATCTGAGACATTTTAGGTTCCTTTGAGTTTTCGTTTTGCAAAAGTCAGTTATTATTCAAATCAATTAAATGTGTGAGAGAGAGAGTAAACAAATTGATGATTATTAATTTGTTTGTTTGTTTGAAGTTCAATCACACATTAACTATTGTTTGGATTATGCTGAAATTTGGTATATAGCTCACATTTCCGAATTCTTATCTCAAAAATCCTTCCGGGCTCCGCCCAAGTGGCTCTGGAGTTTCCCTTTGGAACATAATGAGTATTCATACAGGGAATTAAAGATTTGTGTCAGCTGTTTTAACTACACAAGTTGATTCTATGATATTAAATGGCATTAAAAGTAGTTACAAGATTTTTACTAACAGAGGGTGCAGAACTATAGGAACGACGAGTACTCTGCTAGTAGACATTAGGAACGTCAGATTTAAATAAGAGCTCCAATAAAAGCTGTAGTTGGCATGGCCAGCTGGGCCAACTCAATGTATTGGATATAAAGTCTCTATGTCGGAGTGTTGGGCAAATAACAGTTTATCTGGCCAGCTAGTTACATACAACAGCTGCTATTTATGTTCTAGTCCATCTCTTATTCATTGTTAAAGACAAGTAAAACAGTTTTCAAGTAGTCCAACATTCTGGTTATGATTTGTGCAGTTTTTTTCTATATTCAATTTTTCTGGCATTGAATTATACTTGAATTTTAAAAACGTTGATAGAATGTTAGCAGTTAATTCATGTTATCTTACCACACAGGTCATCAGGTTGCAGGTGTACCCTCTAGCCCGTGACTGTATCATCTACAGCACCGTCATCGGGGTGCTCGCCGTGCTACTCTGGGACGAGAAGATCTACTGGTACGAGTCAGTCATTCTCATCGTTCTCTACTTCTGCTACTGTGTCATTATGTTCTGCGACGGCAAGATTACGAAGGCTGCCAAGAAAGTGTTACGGAAAACAAACTCCTTCGACAGCTCAAGTAGGTGATTGTGTTTCTTTTGTAACAGGCTGTTTTTAATCAGAGGGATTTCAATTAATGGTCCTGTCTGAAGAAACAGTGTGGTATTAGTCTAGAAAGCTTCAGGTTATACTCTAGTATGCATGAGTAGTAGGCATGAGACTGCCTTTGAATTCAGCTTCAATTCCCTAAAGTGTGTACACTGTCCTAAGTGACCAAATGACACTTTTGTTTTAGTTGGGCAAATAAACTGATGATTCGTATACATGGGGTAGGGAGATCATACGGGAGAACAACCAACCAGCTTTTCTGTATGGTAAAATAAACATTCCTCAGGCATAGGGAACGCTTGAGATTTAGTTGCCTTATAGTGTTACGTGATAGAAAAGCAATTTTTCTCAAAATACTTTAGTATTTCACCCTTTATTAATGTTTATAACTTTAATGTGTGCTTTTCCATTAACAGTTTAACTTTCCCATTTTCTATCTATACAAGTGTTTTGTCCATAAATGAAGGTCTCTGAGCTCGCTTCACAATCAAGCGTTCCAATTCAGACCTACACGGTGTTCCTTATTTCATACCCTACGATTCTAGGGCTTTCCCAACCATGAGGGACAATAATATTATCATAGTGTTTGAAGAGTTTTAAAATAAAATGGAAAAAGTGTGAATCACTTTCTAGGATCAGGTTTCTGAACTAACAATAAAAGTGGCTTCAGCTGTTACATAAGGATGAGAAATCTACTAATGGAGTATTTTTTATCATACCTGTGATCGTCTCCAGCGATTTTTTCAAATCCTGTGACTATTTTTTGGAATCTCGGCATAATTCATGATGATTCCCTGTGATTGCGTTAATGGCAGAATTGCTGTAACGCTGTAAGTGTCTTTACACGATCACAGAAATATCCACCATTATCTCAATACTCATGACAATCTTTCGCGATCGCGGCCATTATCTGAGATCATATTTCAATCGCTTCAAAATTCATGATTATTTCCCGCGATCGTGGCAACGGCTGTCATGATTTCTTGCGATGGTAGTAATTTCCGGTGTTCATAATAGTTTCCCACAATCGTAATTTTCAACCATGCAAAACTAGAGAGGCTATTCGGTAAGCACCTAATCAAATGTTTAGCTTATTAAGAAAAACTACTGTGCGAGGGGAGGCCCAGAGGGGCCTGGGTGCTCGCCCCATCCGCCCATAGGTAAATTCAGGCCCTGGCAGAAATGTGTTTCACAGGGAGTTCAATGAACGCTGATATGTTTTCATAACAAAACCAGCATCAAGTGTTAATCAGTTTCCATCGAGAGTTATTAAAGTGGAATATAATTTTTGCCTACTGATCAACTTATTTCTGACTTACAGGGATGACTATGGTCCTATGATCACAGAAAACTAATCAAATAACGCAAATTATACTTGGCTGGAGCGTTAATTTTCTTAGACAATGTTTTGGAATACAGTGAAGAGATTGAGGTAGATGGAGACTTTAATTTACAGACAGCCCTCTTGTACATAGTATCTTATTGGTGATTTTCCTCTTTAGCAAAAGGCTTATTTTTCAAAGAACTATATCCTTTATCGTTGGAGATCCAATTAAATTAATTAGATAATTACCACTCAACGTATTGTTCTAATCTCTCTTGATCTATTATTCATCATGAGTAAGGAGGTATTTCACTAAAACTTGGTCTGAATTTGTTGTTGGAAAACTATGTTGCTGTAAGTTTAAAAAAAGTGTATACATTTCCATTTCTTTTGGTCACTATCCTAAGCTGAGTAGTTGTGTAGCTCCATTTATATCTATTTTTTCATTTTCTAGAGACAATAAAGTCAGATGTAAGCAGTGGTGCTGGAGATGGGATATATCGGCCGACGTATTACCATGGGGAACAGCTCAGCTCATTTCAGAGGGCTCGCTCAGCCAGTTTGAAGGATTCAAAAAATCCCATGGATGCTGAGAAGCAAACCTGTCATGAGGAGGACGAACATAAAGGTATAAAAGGCTATCAGGATTAGCTTAGAAGATTCAACCCAAATATTGGTACTTCCTAGAACAAGAAATCACACTTGTTAATAAATAACAATTAAAATTTATAGCTGGTTATCAAATAAAATTTGTATATACAAATACAAATAAACTAATATGTCAGGAGCCTGTGGTTAAAACTAAAACCAAAATACGAGTCATTTGTTGACCAAAATATGAGTCAACAAAACATTGTTTTCTCGTATTATGAGAAAATTTCAATTAACAGAAACAAGATAAAGTATGAGAGTAAAAAGCCATGTTTACAACGGGGTTTGCAACACAAAAATTTACAACAATCCAAAGAATGCTAGTTTTAAGCTAATAAATTTGATGTTTTCAGTGGGTTTCCAGTAATTAATAAAAAAGAATTCTAAAAGAAGTCGGTACGTTTTACAGCACTTGTTTCAAGCCACATTCACAACAAAGTATACTACCTATAAAATGTGTTCAACTTTTGTTGTTAGCTCCAGTTTAAATGTGGCTGAAGATTTGGGTTCATAGACCCCTTGGTCATCGCCTAGGAAGTATAAGCTACCTTCACACTATATTGTGTATTTGCATCCTTCGCTCTTCATTTATTTGGAGTATTTTGGTATTGTAATGTCTGACCAAAAGCTTTTTAATACAAATAGTCATTCCAACCCCATGTGTAATTTGTAGCCAGTTTTTTTTTTTTACAAAAATCGTCGTAGTTGATGTGAGCCACCAACAGATTGTGCTAATCTAAAAATGACTGATTTCTGTTGAATACACAGCAATCTTTTATACCAATTCAAACTAATGGAATGACTTATTGTGTGCTACAGCAACTGTTATGACCCATCAACTTGGCAAGCAACAAAAATAAGAGGAAAATAGAGTTTTAGTAAGTAGCGCATTCTGTGTCTGGCTCACACAACTAGTTCTTTTTTAACAAAAATTGACTACAGCTGGTCCATATAGATGGGACGTCTACTTCAGTATCCAATAGTCAATGCTTAAAGATAGTGATGGATTACATGGTAAGAATTACCAACTCTTTTCCTATTTCAATCTTCAAGAATACCATAACCAAAATCAGTGGTGATTCTGCAGGCCCAACCCAATTGGACTCTTAAAAAATAAATTAAACATACATTTCGTCCTAAAAACGTAACAGAGGATTTTGGCCAATGTACATAGATGTACATTAAAAATGGCTTTAGAAAGTCACCAATTAGCTATGGGAATGCCGAATTTTCCATGAGAGGCTAGAGGCCCCCCAAACCCCCGATCTCCCTTGAGTTGTTGACCGTCTACCCCCCAGTAGATCCTAGAACCACCACTGATCAAAATAATTACCACCATGATGTGCCTTGGTAAAAATAATGTTAGTTCCCAGAGAAATCAAAAGATCCAGTCATGTAATAAGTTAAATAAGACAAATCCATCACAGTCTAATTTTCTTGTCGATTCCGATTCATAGGAAACCTAAGACGCATTTCATCGTTGCCCTCTATTAGAACGGTGTCCACAGAATGTATATCAATCAACAGCTTGAGACCTTTTGCTATTTCTCAGTCTAACGGAGAAACAACCACATACGGAACTGCAGAAACTATCAGAATACCTGATGATAGTTCAGGTAATCCATCGGGTTTGATTTTGGGATTAATACATCGTTTGTTTGAAGTGTTCGGAGTGTTGCCTTTTTGCACGTTTAATAAACTGTAATGCGAGGTTGCTTGTCAGAGGGGCTGTGTTTAGAGGTTTTATTTTGACTGAAATCGCAATGTGATAATCTACCCTAGTAAAAATATATAAGAGGTAGGTATACATTTTAACTTAACTCATCATGTTTGCTTCCATTAACCATGTTGTAACTATAACATTTTTGTTTGGTTTTCACATCAATCACTCTGTCATATTAGAAAATACAATTCCTTTTAGCAATTGTTACACAGAACAACAGTTGATGTTATTAACAATTATAGGCATATTTTAATCGGTTGAAAAATTTCAGCTTTTTTAGGTTTTTTTGGACTAACTAAGTCTTTGTCTACACTTCGATAAGCCTTTAGAGTAGTTTTGGAAAGCTGTGTGAAACCATCAATAACATTTTAGCGAATTTCCCTATAGGGAAGTAGCTATTACCGTAGGTCTCATGGTAAGACTTAGGCCCGGGACCGATTTACTTTTTCATTTTGATGTCCCCAGAGGCCAAAAACACCACTCGTTCAAATTTTTATATATGTATATATATATATATATATATATGTATATATGTGTCCGTGAACACGATAACTTGAGTAATTTTTATCCGATTTTGATGAAATTTGGTTTGAAGGTGTAAGGCGGGATAAACTTGAATGAGTTCGCGATCCAGCATGATCGGACCATGGAAACAGGGTTTTATGGGGGGTTTTATGGGGTAAAAATTGGTTTTTCTCACTTCTTGCCCTCAAAACACAAAATTTCCCAATTTTTCTCTAAACCTTCTTAAAGAGCTTAAAAAAACAAACAATTCAGTATATCAAAGTGTTTTTGTACGGTTATTGGTTACGGAGAAAACTAAAAAAATGGTAAATTTAAAATTCCCATGTTATTCTTATGGAGAATATTGTAAAATGTTGTAGTTTGCTTGTTTATGGATATCTTTTGATCAAACTTGGCAAATATATTCATTTTATACTAAGCAATAATTATTTTACTTAAAACACTCACTTTATTAGTTTCCTTGTAGCAGCAAACCTAGGTACTCGTTAAACCTAATGTTATTTAAATAGATCAATTGAAAATCAATTCAGCCAAATGGAAATTCGCTTAGGCGTCAGGTTTGCTGCGGCAGGGGTATATTTTATTTTTGAAGTTATGTGCTACGATAATTTTATTTGATTAATAATTAAATAAAAACTTCACATCCTTACATTTTCTATTTAATCTAATTCAAATTTCTTAGTAAAGCCGAAGCTGCCGCTTTTTTTTTTTTAGATTAAAAGTTTTTTTAAATATTTGCCCCATATAAGTTCCATATTTGATTATTGATAGTTTAGTGCTCAATTTGTGGGGGAACGCGGCGGAACGGAATTCCGGCACCTCTCTTTAGGGAAGATACAAATATTGACATTTTATACAGGTACATAAATAGGTAAATTTACATTAAATAGGTTACAGTTCCGGTAATTTATTTTGTACAAATCAAGCACTGAGTTTAGGTAAAGGTCCCTGCCATGGCCATGGGCTTTATGGATCTTGGCTTAGATCTTCTCCTAATGCTAATAACAGAAGACAACCTCTGTAATGTGGAAATCAGAGATTATATGTAACGTTGAAATTTTTCAACAATTTCAGAATAGATTCCAGTTATGCAGCTATGCATAAAATACTATACACATCCAATTGCATTTTAAATTTTTGTTTTCAGAAACCGCACTCTGTATCAGACCTAAGGGGTTCTGGAGGAGTTTTTGGTGGTTCTTCACACTCCCGGTAGAGGTAGTTCTCTGGTTGACAATTCCCAACTGTCGCAACCATCGAAAACTCTATCCACTAACATTCATAATGTGCATTGTATGGATCGGAATCTCTTCCTATGTTGTGTCGTGGATGATGACAATTTTTGGTAAGCTTAAGTTGATTTGATTATTTTTTGCCAGAGAAATGTGTAATATCTGGTATTCATACTATTTTTAGCAGGGCTGCCAATGAGCCCAGGCCCAGGGGCGCAAGAGGTTAAAGTTTGTTGGGGGCGGAAGGTAGAGAAACATTTCCCCCACAATTAAGTATGGAGAGGGTGCAATTATCAGCGCATATTACGTGCAAACTACAGGCCTGATTTCTTGTTTGCCTGTTGTTGGTTTGTAAGAAGCAGAAATACCTATAATTCCTTTATGGTAACTGGGTTGGACTGCATTTTACTCATGAAAACAAGAACCTTCTTCAGATTTCAAGGTTAACACTGTAACAAGTCATTTACCCATCGAGCCAAATAGTTTATGACAGTGTTGTTCTTGTTAACAATACACTACACATTACGATCCACTGGTAATGTTAAGAGGGTTGACCACAGGCCTTTACAATAGACTGGTCAACTACCCTATGGGGGAGCGAGCTGGTCTAGTGGTTAGAGCACGGGACTCCGGTACCTGGGGTCCCGGGTTCAAATCCCGCCAAATCATCAATGGATTTTATCTAAGTGATAATGCCGTAACTCCTAGGTCTAGCCTGAAGTAATGTGAAAAACAATTCCACACTCGTGCCTAGCGTCCTAGGAGAAAAAAAAAACAAAAAACCTATGAGCTGCACGTAAAATCTCGCAACTAAGATAGAGGATTCATACCAGCATACACAAGAGCACTCTTTTATTCCAGAGTAGAGTGACAACAAAAAACATGGAAACATCCTTCTTTTTTGCCATCCCAGTTTCAATAATTTGAATTGTATTAGATTTACCGTTGTTGGCGTTTGCTTGAGTGTTCATGTAAGTAAGTTAAGAGATAGGTAAGAGATTTGTGTCACCCTGAAGACATCCCGAAGAAGACCCCTGAAGATGACACATAAGGTGGAGAAATGCGTATGCTGGCGCTTAAACTTCTACTTACAATAACTCACACAGCAACTATAAAGTTAAATGTAATAGAAACATCAAAAATTTGCAATCGGACTTATAAGCTGTCATCGTATTTTTTTAGCGTCAAAAAAATATTCTGTTAGGGAAGTGAACTTACCAATTGAATCACAGAAATAATTCCTTTCTAACACACTGGAAGATCTCCACATTTTTTTTTATTTTTCTAATTTATTTTTCTTAAGTTTATTATATATTTCATTACTGATTGAGTTTACTAATAAGTATTTCCTTTACAGGTAACACATACAACCTGAGTGATTCCATAATGGGGATAACATTCCTAGCCATTGGAGGAAGCATGCCAGAAGCGTGTTCAAGTGTCATTAACGCACGATTAGGTAATTACTGTTTTTTAACATGATGGTATGTATGTGGTTATGTGAAATGAACAGACATAATGATTTGTGTGTGATGTTTTAATGTTAAGCCTATACAACTATAATTTTCCCTAAATATGGTATGTAAAACGACATATCCTCCTCTAATATGAGGCAGCAGTGAAATAAAAGTGGCAACACTGTAGTTAACATTTGTTTTCCTGATATTACCATGGCAATAGACTGTACGGTGCGAGTTGCCACAGGCCACCGTGATCTTGTATCAGAGAGGCTATGAAAAATTAAAACGGTCTTTGGTATGGAAAGACACCAAAAGTTGTGAACACCAAATCAAATTTAAGTAGCCCTCTGTTAATTAATTTTTTAAGCTTCCGGTATTCCAAAATGTTGTGGCTTTTATTAATAATCATTTATATATTATTTTTTTAATCTATAAGAGTAGGGTATAATGCAAATAATTAAAGAAATTTATGAAGACTATCACACTTGTTTCATATTAATATTTTACAGGGAAGAAAATTGGGTTTTTTATTAAAATATTAATAGCTTGGTACCGGGATAAAGTAAACAAAATTTCAAAATTTCATAAAAATATGTCCATAGACAAGGAAGCTACAACAGTTTATTTATTCTCCATAAGAATAACATGGTAATTTTAAATTTACACTTTTTTTGAATTTTTCCATAACCATTAGGCATACAACAATGCTTCGATATACTATAAATTATTTGTTTTTTGAGCTCTACAAAATGGTTGGGAAAGAAATTGCAAAATTTTATGTTTTCAGGGTGGAAAATAAGGAAAACCCAATTTTCCCCCATAAAACCCTGCATAAACCCCTGTTCCAAAGGCCGATCATGCTGGTTTGCGAACTCGTCCAAATAAATGTAGGTTTACATGTTTATACCAAATTTCATCAAAATCGGATCATTTTTGCTTGAGTTATCGTGCTAACGGGCATATATATTTATATATATATATGAATCTGAACGGATGGTGTTCTTGACCTCTAGGGACCTCAAAACGTAAAATTAAATCGGTCCTGGGTCCAGGTCTTACCATGAGACCTACGGTAATAGCATATTTCCTATATGGAAAATTCTCTAAAAAGAGGAAACATTGAGTGGTAACTTATAAATGATTGATCCTGGGAAAGATTAATAGATTTATGGCTCAAAACTGGGTTAAGTTGTGTTTATTTATTGGGATTTTTGTGAGTAGTCGGGGTAAAACAACTGCTGCTCCCAGTTAGAAACAAAGTTGCATTCTATTCTAAACTCATAATTCATAGGTTTAAATTTCTTCTGTTGCCTCAGTTCTAGCAACAATAAACAAAAAAATAAATATAGGTGAGTCGGTGGCTCAGTCGGTAGCGTCACAGACTTCAGGTTCAAGGCAGCGATGTCGTGGGTTCGGATCCTGGTCAATGCCGAAAACATTTTATCAGTACAGTTCACCTTTGTACTGTACTGGCTCACTCCTTGCTTTGCTGGATACGCTCCACACAAGGGCAGTTAGTCTATGTGGACGGGCAAATGCAAGGATAAAAGAGGCTGCCAACCTTTAAAAAAAACCAAAATAACCATAATGAATTTGTTGGTCTAGGTATAGGCTCAATGAGCATCAGCAATGCGCTAGGGGCCAACACCCTAGACATTCTACTGTGCCTTGGACTTCCGTGGATGATCAAGACTCTTCTGCCAGCGTCCTGGGGTGGAGGTCCCATTAAGATTCAATCTCCCGGTCTCACCTATAACACAGCAGCACAGATCGCCTGTGTTGCCATCCTTTTTGTGGCAGCTTATCTCAACAAGTTCCATTACAATAAAATCTTGGGTTCGGTCTGCCTAGTGATGTACCTGTCATCTATCGCTTTTATTTTAGTTGTTGAAACCAATGTGTTCCACTGGACACAAGGAAAAGTGTATTGTAGCTAGTCAATAAAATTGTTAATTTATTTTTATAATTGAGTCTTTTTCTTTTAGTTTACCTCATTGTATTTTTTACAAGACCGTTTTACGTTTTGACGTATGTTTATAAAAATCTGGTCTTAAATATTGTCACCAGGTTTGGATTTAGTTTAGTTTAGTCGTTTAGTAGACAAAACAAGCTCTAAGCCTGTAGAGGTTATTCTGGATTATTTTAAAACAGAACCTCTATAAAATTTATGGGTTTTACTCTGTGTATGTAGAAATACAAAAATAAATTAAACTTAGCGTAACAAGTTTTTTCAGCATGCCACAAATTATAGAGCTCAAAAATATACTATCTCACATTACCAAAATCAGAATATAAAAGCATTATCAGCCCAGTTCTCCTGTATGGATCAGAAAATTTGATTTTTAACTAAAAAACAGAAAGGAAAATTATAGTATTTGAAAACAAAATATTATGAAGAGTGAACAGGCCGACTTTTGAAGATGGGCAATGGAGATTAAAGCATAATTGGGAACTGAGATAATTATTTAAAGACCAGGATATTGTCGCTGAGGTACGGAGTAGAAGGATGAGATGAACATCAGGATATATCATAAGAAAACAAGATAACTCCTTAGGTACGAAAGAAAGCACTTGGAGATTGGAGAACAACCCAGAAGTAAGAAGACCCCTTGGTAGACCAAAATTGAAACTTGGTGGGACCAAGTAGAAAAGGACTTACGAAAACTGGGAAGAAAGACAAGGACGGGAATAATGGAGGAAGTGCCGGAAAATCACTTTCGGAACGAGTTGTGGACGAAACTTTTGATCACGATATTTTAAAAAATCTCCACACATGAAGAATAATTAAAACATACCTCAGACGTATAAAAATATATCAGATATTAAAACTATATTATTTCTCAACAGTTTTTGAATATCAAAATCAAATAAAACGAGCTGCTATACCCCTGCTTCGCAGCGGGAAGAAAACATGGAAAAGAATAATATGTGTTTCTTATATCTGCTGTATAAAATAGTTGAAACACATTACATTACAGTATTAACTTAAGAATAAACACTCAACTTTACCACCTAGTGAAGTATGGCAGCCATTACAGTATATAAGTGGTGCTGACTGTGTGTTTTGAAAATACGGCAACTCTGTGATTAAATTTGAAAAGCAGTGGCATCATTTCGCCAAATCCTTGGGGGGGGGCAAACAATGGGGGTCCGGGGGAATTTTTTGCAGTTTTTAAACAAAAAAAGAGCGGTTTAAGTTTATTTTAACTGACAAAAGCACTTAGAAGAAAAACAAAATTATGAGTAAAATTTATTTAAGAAGATTTATTTATTTTTTTATTTAGGAAGAAAATTAATGAACTATACTGACAACAAACAGAAACAAAATAATATGTTGGTAAGTTAGTCAGCTAAGAAACGTGATCAATAGTTCCATTATGTATTAATTGTTTGTTATTAGATTCATGACCAATTTCTCTTGTACAACATTTAGACCTAAGATAGCAATGAATACGGTTATAGCCTATAGTTTATATTAGTTTATTTTGGTTTTTAAATGAAACACAAGTATTTAAGTACTTAAAAGCAAATAAAATTGTATTAACAATAGAAAAATATTTGACCCAAAAGTACAAAAGGTTCTATTTAACTATATTAGACTGGTAGTCTACAATGTTCAAAATAAATTACAGTAGGCACATAAAATTGATACACGTGTATAATTTTAATGGTTGAATAAATTCATAAAAGTAAATGACAAAGCAATGCTTCTAAAAAAATCGGCATGTTTATGTATGTATAAACTAGACGAAGTAAGTGGTTGATCGTACAGAACCACTAAGAAAAAGTAAATGAATAAAACTACTAATAATTTATGTAAACTCAGAATGGTACTGCGGGACACCAAAAAAATAATATTTTTGTTTAAAATTTCTGTACAAGAATAGGCTGATTTTTGTCTGCCTTGCTTTTTAGGATTTGACAGGAGAAAATATTTGTACATATATTAGCTAGTACAGCATATTTTTTTCTCTAGCCCAGGAACGGGGGGAGGCAAATGCTCCTCTGCCCCCCCCCAAAAAAAATTACGCCCCAGTTGAAAAGATGCACTGATTTGAAATGTAAAACATACTTACTTTCAAATCCCTACTTTTGATGGTAGTAGATCCAAAAGAATATGGCTACATACCTTAGTGTAGCAATAACATCAATTACTTGATATTGAGGCTTCATGAACTATATGTATGTTTTGTAGTTCTTCAATTTTAGCCCAGCCTCTTTATGTAGCTTTACTATATATAAATCACAATACTTTATACCACTTGTACTACTTTTCTTTAACCAAACAAAACCCTCTTACCCCATATATTTCCTCAATCTATATAAAATATCATCATAAACATATTTTTCTAGTAAATAAATAACAAACACCAGTTAATTGCATTGACGAGCTGTTTCATTAAATAAATTAAAATAAATCATTTAAAATTTAAAAGCATGTCAAGCTCAGCCACGGCCACCTCTGTAGGCATTGGTAGAATTGGCAACGTCGCAAGTGGTGTTGTTTAGTGGCAGACGTCCCATAAGATTACATGGCAGACAGGTGACATCAGCGCATTAATTCGCACTTTATTGATTTAAATTTAAATTTATGAACATAAATTTATTAAAATATTGTAAATAAAACATACAGAATTGAAAACCGAAACATTATGAATTAAAAAGGGCAGGGCCGATTTACCGAATAGGCACGGTAGGCACGTGCCTAGGGCGCGAGGCAATTGGCTTTTTTGGGGGGCGCCAAAAATTTGGAAAATAAAAAAATTGGTGGTTGTTTGCATGCGATTGCGGTAATATTTCTAATAATCCCTCGCAGCCGTGTAGACATCGTAATCGTCTCCCGCGTTTGCGGTGAGATTCTTACTATTTTCAGTGGTCAGGTCGTTTAGACATAATTATCGTCTTCCATGATCGGAGCAATATATGAGCATATCCCGCGGTCGTGAGGAGATTATCATCGTCTACCGCGAATGAGGCAAAATTCTGATCTTTTCCCGCGGTCGGTCGTAAGGACATTATCTTCGTCTTGCGCGATCGCGGTCAAATTCTGACCACCCCTCGCGGCCGTGAAGACATCATTATATCGTCCCCCGCGGTCGTTTGAACATATTAATCGCCTCCCACGATTGTAAAAAAATGGTAATCATCTCCCTCGGTCTTGTGGAGATCATAATCCTCTTCCGCAAATTAGGCAAAGTACTGAGCTTTTCCCGAGATCGTGTGGCCATTATCATCGCCTTCCGTGATCGCGGCAATATTCTGATCATCGCTCGCGGCCATGTAGAAATCATTATTGTATCTCCTGCGGTCCTGTGGACATATGGAGATCACCGTCTTCCGTGAATGAGGCAAAATTCTGATTTTTCCCGCGGTCATGTGGACATTTTCATTCTCTTGCGCGATCGTGGCATAATTCTGATCGTCCCTCGCGGCCGTGTAAATCATTATTGTATCTCCCGCGGTCCTGTAGACATCGTAGCCGTCTCCCGCGGTCGTGTATACATGGCAATCGTCTCCCGCGATTGCAGCAAAATGTTAATCATGTTCCGCAGTTGTGTGGAGATCATCATCGTCTTCCGCGATCGCGGTAAAATTCTTGCTGTTTCGGAAACTGTTGTCATGCGCGATCACGGTAATTTGAAAACTCCAGGTAGAAATACAAAATTCACACATAATACCCGGTTCATAACATTCCCGCATGATTCCCGGATTTCCCGGTCGGTGGACACATTATATATATATATATTGCAAAGGGGCGCTACTATTAGTTGTGCCTAGGGCGCTGACAGGGTCAAAAACGGGCCTGAAAAAGGCCTTGAGTGGAGTCAATATTGCCATAGTCCAGTAACCAATCTTTTGTAAATACACATTAGCTGCTTCCAAACAAAACAGCTGTTATAACACTACTTGCAACGATGCGGCCGTGGCTCAGCCCTTTGGAAATATGTCTGCGGGGAAGAGCCCTTAAGAAATTCGTCTAAACCAATGCTTTTCGGCAAATATACACACTCCAAGCTTCGTTTTGATGTGCCATATGCCTTTAATTTTATTTTGATAAAATGCCGTTTACACAAATTGGAATGCATATCACTTTAATAATATAGATTTTCCAAAGCAAAACCTAAATAATACGGTAAGTAATAACTTAAAAATTAGAGGTTCAGTGGTTCAGGTTATGTTTATTGTGCCGTTTTCATTGTTGGTGACAATCATCACTCTTTCGTTTATATGGCTTTTCTTGTTTTGAAACATCGTTGACATCTTCTTTTAGTGCATAAAAGAAGACCACTCTTAATAACTGAAAATCTACTCCACAACGTAATAATTGTTCATGATTTAATATATTTCTCAGATAAATAGCCTATATTAAATACTTCCTCACTTACTTTATTCGGATTAACATTAAATGTAAAACACACCTACCCCCAGGGTACAATTTGTTTTTCAGGATTAATTTTGCCAACAGTGCCATTTAGAGGCTTCTGAATGACTATAACGGATGTTTAGTAATTGAAAAATTATTTTTGTTCATAGAATACAATTATAAATGCCTCAAATTCAATTTTATATTTTTTTATTATAAAATTAAACCGTCATAACCTAACCAAACCAACCAAACGTGCTGACAATGAAAAAATCTAATGAAGGTTTATTAATCGAAAAAATAGTTCTTTTCATAAAATAAAATTATAAATGCCTCAAATCCTATTTTATATATTTTTTTAAAAATTAAACTATCATAACCGAACCAAAAACTAACCAGACTTGCTAACAATGAAAAATCAAATGAAGGTTTAACCGAAAAAATATTTCTGTCCATAAAATAAAACTATAAATGGGTCAAATTCAATTTCATAATGTTAATTATAAAATTAAACCGTCATAACCTAACCAAACTTGTTGATAATGAAAAAAATCCAACACAAAAAATGTTGCTACGGGGGGGATTCGAACCCGGGTCCTCCGGATCATCAGCCCAACACTCTATCCATTACACCACCGAGGCCGTTTGCATCAACCGTATCGTTGTGGTAATGATGTTCCCTCATCCAATCAGAAGCCTCAAAATAATACTGTAGGCAACACTAATCCTGAAATAAAAATTCAGCACCCCCAGAAAGGGGGCCGTGCCCCCAGGCTCCCCAGCCCTGCCAATAACCGGTACCCGTATGTTTTAGTTCGGCTAGTAGCGACCATGTAGCGACCCGTCCGTGCAATGGTCCGTGCGCACAAAACTTTTGTTTTTATAACTGAAGCTGGCGAGGTGGCTGGCAGTTCAGTAAAAAGGGGGGGAAATATCAAAAACCTAGAAGAAAGAAGAAGAGGAACTAGAAAAGTTCAGACGCGGAAGAAGAAGAAGCTGAAGCTCGTGTTTGTTTTGTTCGTTTGTTGTTATGTTGTTATTGTTATGTTCGGTGGGGCACACGGGAGGGACTAAGGCTAACATATCTTGTAGTGTCAGCGTTCGCCGCTAGGACTGCTAAGTTGAAAAAATTTAAATTAATTTTTAATTTTTTATTTTTTGTTATAAAATTAACTTTTTAATTATAAAATATTGTTTTAAAATTATAAAATAAATTTTTAATTCTTAAAATTAAACTGTCATAACATAACCTAACCAACCAGACTTGCTGATAATATAAAAACTATATAAGATAAAAATCTAATTAATGATTACTTATAATTTTTAATTAATTATAAAATTAATTTTAAAATTTAGTATTATAAAATTTAACTGTCATAACCTAACCTAACCAACCAAACTTGCTGATATGAAAAATTTGTTGACAAAAAGATAGTGCTGCCAGTGGGTTTCGAACCCCAGACCTCCTGAACTTCAATCCGAATCGCTACCAACTATGCCACGAACGTCGCTGAAATCACATCGTTTCGTTACGGTAATCGTGTCGCCTCAAGAGAAGACATTAACCACTAGAGATATGACGTCACTACACCTTTAGCCTTAGGCTAGGATTATACTAGGACGCTAGCGTCCGGGAGGCTGGCGTCCGGGACGCTAGCGTCCCACTTCGAGCCGATAAATTACGTGATTTGTGTTGGGACGCTAGCCTCTCGGACTGTCATTTTATTTCAACGTTTTGTCGCTTTTTGTTTCTATATATTTAAATAACATAGGTTTAACGAGTACCCAGGTTTGCTGCTTTAAGGAGGCTAATAAAGTGTGTTTTTAGTAAAATATTAATAGCTTAGTATAAAACAAATTGGCACAGTTTGATATAAATATATCCATATACAAGCAAACTCCAACAGTAACAATATTTTCTACAAAAATAACATGGGAATTTTTAATTTACACTTTTTTAATTTTCTCCGTAACTAATAAACGTACGAAAACACTTTAATATACTAAATTATTTGTTTTTAAGCTCATTAAAATTGTCTAGAGAGAAATTGGGAAATTTTGTGTCTTACGGGTCAAAAATGACAAAACCCCTTTTTTACCCCATAAAACAAGGTCCGTTCATGCTGGTTCGCGAACAGTTTATCCCGCCCTTCACCTTTTTCATCAAAATCGGACAAAAATTACTCAAGTTATCGCGTTTATGGACATATATATAATATTTTAATCTATATGTACCGATGGTGTGTTTGGCCTCTAGGGACATTAAAATCGAGCGTCCGGTGGCTTTTTTTTAGCGTCCGACGCTGGCATCCCTAGTATAATCGCCCCCATTTGATTTAATGCCCCGCTAGCGTCCCGGACGCCGGCCTCCCGGACGCCAGCGTCCTAGTATAATCCTAGCCTTAGTCCATTCCGTGTGCCCATTCCTTGTTCGGTTAGTTAGTTAGTTGTTTGTTTTGACCTTACTCCATTTACCATTAAGTTATGGTCCATCCATAACCTAACCATATCAGTCATCTCATCGCCACGCCATGCTGATTGTTTGTGATTGGCGGCCAACCATTTGATTGCTGAAAGAAGTGAAAGCTGAGTGAAGCAGTGTGTCCACAGCTTGTACAATTGTACAAGATCTAGTACATTTTGATATTTTCTTGTACCCTAGTACATTGTTCACTGAATCTTGTACATTTTCCTTCAAAATCTGTTTTTATAAAAATTGAAAAATACACGCAGTTTGGGGGATTTTTAAGTTAATAAATAACAGTTGGCAACTCCGGATTTTCATATCTTGGTTGAATTGTAAAGACCACATGCCATAACTTACTCTATGTAATTTTATAACAATAAATTACCGGCTATAATAAAATACATAGATAAGCATATGTACTGCCTTAGTGGATTTCTCATTCTTATGGAACAGCTGAAGCCAATTTTATTGTTATTTCTGCCGCGGTGAACTGTAGAGGTGATGTTTTGTTTATAATTTGTTTCTTGTTATTTCAGTTAGTTTCTTTTAAAACTTCGTTCAGCCATTAGCCAAATAAAACGATCTTATCATAAACAATAGCTTGTCCCGTAGTTATGTCAAACAGTATAGCGCAAATAATGAAATCAATCCTAAAATAAAAGAAAAAAAATTTCGTCGATACTAGCGGTCAGTGTCACCGGACATGAACTAGATACGAAAAACGAGCCTCAAAATTTACAATGGGATGAGAAGTCTACTTGTGTTATGAAAAAAGTAGGCATTCACTTCTGAGATTAAAGTCAAATTTAACAAGAGGGCGTTCCGCTTTATCAAATAATTAGAACAATGAGTTTTATGTTATTAAGTGTGAAGGTGAGAGGAGACCTGATTAATTTAATGGTTTTATTTCTATGGGGGAGCGTCAAGGTGCCACCACAAGGATAAAAACGTCAAAGAACTTTGGTTAGTCTCTATGGTATAACACAGAGAGCCATATAAAGTAGCATTACTCTATCTTTTGATCTTGTACCTACATTAGGAAATCTTGTACATTTTTCAGGGAAATTTAGTACAAAAAAGTGGTACCCCTGTCCCCTGTGGACACACTGGAGTGAAGTGAGTGCTCGCTGATAAGCTGTACTGTAGAGTGTAGCTGTAGCTGTGACGCCGTTTTTGTTTGAGGTTGTAAAGATATGTTCAAAAATTAACTTTAAGTAGTTACTTTGTCAGGCGGGCTATTTCGCTATTTATTCAAAGTGTTAAAACGTGGTTAAGCAATCGAAATAAAATTACAGAGCGGTGGCTGGAATAACCTAGTTTTTCTTAAAACTGATAGGCTAAGAAGCTTGAATAGGCCTAGACCAAGTTGATTTTTAAAATGGAAGAGCTAGAGGGTATGGAAAGGGTCTATCTCCCAAATTCGGGGGGCTTTGCTAAAAAAGTTTCATGGTGTACTGGAAAGGTGACATTCAAAGAATACTTTCACAAGTATGCTGAAAAGCTGTATGAAATTAAACCCAACAGCAAGACTACAACCAGAGAAATATACAATAACCTTTTAGGCATACAAGGAGAGGAAATTTCAGCTTGGAAGCAGAGAGTTCTCCTGCAAACTATGAAGTAAGTATAATAAGCAATTGACTAAACTTATTCTAGCATAGGCCTAACTTAGGCTTATGTAGGCCTATAGTCGGTAGGCCTATAACTATGTAAGATAGCCTAGGCTCAGGCCCACTTTTATAAACGGGCAGACTAGGCGTAAGTTAACTTATGCCCAGGGGCGCCGAAGGTTTGTTGGCGCCCACCGGGTGCCCTCAACCACCGCCTTCCTGCACTAACTTAAGTTAGGCCTAGGAAAAAATGGGGGCCCTGCTTTTGGGTTTGCCTAGGGCTCCACTGACCCTTACTGGCAAATGAATAATCCAGAAATTTCATATTGCTTACTGGCTTGATGATAAATCACGATCAGTAAATGACTTCTAATGCTATTCTTATGAAGAACATTTTATGTTATATCTAATTTTGTATTAGAATTTGGAGAATTTCACTATTTTTCCCGCCGTCACGGGGTCGAGACCTTTAATTTGAGCCCTCTCCCGTCGTTCTACGACTTCCCAGTCGCCCACAATTTTGACGCAAAGAATCGGCTTACGTAATTAATATATAGACTAGTGGCTTGTAGGGACATGAGTCCCTAAAAAAGCTCAAATGGAAAAGAAATTATTGTAATATTTAAACAAATTTAGAATCAAATTATCTGTGTGTCAGGATAGATATCCCAGTACAATAGGCTACATCTTTTGTGTAAAAAAAAAAAACAAAAAAAAACTGTTTGTTGTTTGTCTTTGTTTGCTTTTGTTGATATTATTTTCAATAAAGAATTTGAATGATTCCAGAGGTTTAACTGCTAAAGGCAGCAAACATGTTTATGAATACTTAAATATTGGTTTATTAAGGTAGCTTTGGTTTTTTGGTTAATGGCGATTAAAAGGCTTCCCCGACTGAAATATAGTATCGGAAATTGTCTTCGTCAAATAAGAAAAGGCAAAAAATGGTGTGTTGAGATAAACTTAGTTCTTGGTCAAAACCGCTAAATTACCCAGACTATTTGTAAGTCTATGCTCCTTTTGTAAAGGTTTAACAAAATTAGTCATCCCATTGACAGAGCTTAACCATACATTTGTTTCTGATCAACATTAAAAAAACCACTAGGCCTATTAGCCTAGTAATTATTAAGTACCTATATGTTAATTATTATGTAAGTTTATGTTGTGGTAATCCTCCTAAAGGTGCGATTGATTTACATATTCTACCAAAAAAGGACCTAATCAACGTCTAATTACTAACTATTTTGCGACTGGTTAGGGTTCCACTACCCAGTTATTGAAACTTTACCTAATACTTTTATACTTTCTTATGAAATGGCGACCATACAATGTAGGTATTTTAAGCCAAGTATGAATGGAGATGAGTGTAGGATGAGTGGCGCGATCTTGTAGTCTCGTTAGTGACTAAGGCCGACATTCCTTAGACACAGCTGTTAATTAATAGCCCAAACAGCTAATGACAACTAAAGCGGCCCACACACTAGCGCGCATGTGCCTTGCGTGGCTCGTGGTGAGGTGACTGCGAGCGGCTCGAGGCACATGTGCGATTCAATTGGTAACCACACACTAAAGACACATGAGCGCGCACCACCGTTTTTGACAATTCAAATAGTGGGCTATAACAGCAAATTCAACAGTTATATTGAAATCATTCTAATAAACTCCTTTGTATCGTCGCCATGTTCATTTGTTTTCATTTTGCATTTTTTAACAAGGAAAATCTTTTTAGAGTTGCAAGCAAAGTCACTAAACAATAAAATTTTCCTTAAAAAAAATATGTGATTATGCACTACAATTATTTGGGTAGTTACTAGTTGTATGTATTATGGTTTTTGGGTTTTTGTGTTTTTGGGAAATAAGGTATTAAGAACATGAGGGTTGTATTATTTAATATAGGCTAAGTGTATAAGGGTCGTATTTAGAGTATAAGTGTTATAGACTTTGATTTAATTAGTTTATTTGGTTCACATCGATATTAAGCTCTCACAGTTAATTTCAGTCTTCACAAACTTATCGTCTCTGTCAGGAAACACCCCCTTGCATTTTGTTATTAATACCTCCTTAATTTATTTTCTCATTTATTTGTTTGAAAAGTTTACACTTTTCACGTCCCAAGAACACGTTTGTGATCTATAAAGCTCAATAAACTCAGACCAAAACTTTCTTATGTCATTAAAGGACATGTTAACCGCCCAACAAAGAAGTCAATACTGTAATAACCAAACAACATTTAAAGACAAATAAAATACAAGACGTGGGGCAGTGAATGTTTTACACACTGCACTGTGCCACACAGGCGCAGACCTTGTAGTTACCGATTTACAGTATATGCAGATATGGTTTGTACTGCTAGTTCGCGAACATGTGCCTCGGTTTCCCACAGACTGGCGCGCATCATAACAAGCTCGCGCTCATGTGACGATGCTCGAAGGTCCAGCGGCAGGCACCAGGCACCTCGCATGCGCGTCGTGAGCATGGGCACATTTACCCACACATTGAGACGTCATCTGACATTTGGGACGTCGAGCTGTTCGCGCGTCACATGTGCGCGCACAAGCGCCCCAGTGTGTGGGCCGCTTAAGGGACCTACAGTTTATAGTGGAATCCGAACCACATTTTTCCTTGGTATATACGAATTGGTCTAATTATCAGGATAGTACTGCGGATGGTCGTAATACTCACTAGTGCGGACGTTAATCCACACCAGGGAGTATCCCATCCACAGTGCATACCTATAAATATCCACAATTCGTGACCTCCTAGTAGCTGGATTACAGGACGACGCCACCCGTCTAGGAAAACCATGTAATACGGAAAACATTCTCTAAAGGATGACTTAGGTTAGCTTGTTCTACTTTGTTATTACTGAAACGCAGCTCCGTGTATTTTAACCCAAATATGAATGAATGAATAGTGTACATTGGAGTGAAATGTTTTGTGTAGCTTTTTTACTGCCTAAAATCAGCTGATTCTGCAGCCAGAATAAATAATTAAAAGCTTAATCATCAATGATCAAACTATCAATTATTTGAGACAGCAACACACGCCTAGCGCGTGGTGAATATGAATACAAGATATAAATATTTTTGGTTAGTTTTAAGAAACGGAAATTAACTCTATGTTCTACTGTTATATATTCATATTCATATTCAAACATCTTTATTCGTAAATCATGTACATTGGTGGTACAGTGAATAGTGTCAGAATACTTAAAATAAAAGTACAGACAGTGTCATTAGTCTGTGCGCGCGGATCTGACGCTACTAGCCATTCTATAAAACTTGGGCTCACTCACTCCATTATGGTCTCACTCACACCAATAGTGGTCTATAAAATTTCTAGCTGGAATAATCGAATTTCTAATTGAATCACCTGATTGAAAAAAGTAAATATTTATATTCTTTTCTAAATATTATTATAGCAGAGTGTGTTTAACGGAAAGATTAGTTTAGTTTAACTGTGTTTTTTGTTTAATACTGTGTTTTAACGTATTCGGCATACATAGAATTATGTGTGACAGAGTGAAAAGTAAGTTGAAGGGTAGGACGCTGAACGGACAGAGTCGGGAAATAGTAAGCAATGTTTACCAGTTTATGAAAAAAGAGGCTGACGATAAAGCTGTAAGCATTCCCTTGGCAAAAGCTCGCGCCCGAACAGCAGTGGCAACAGGGGTCTCGGAGCGAGTCATAACGAAGATTAATAGCGAACTTAAAGCACTACTAATACATGATGACGATGATAGCAACAAAAGTTTTTGTACTCCTAGTAAGTTAAAAGAAAGCAGAAAAAGGCCCGTCACTGGAGTGGATGATTTTGATAAGGCTTTGATAAGACGCTTGGTGTATGAGTTCCACATTCAACATAAAATACTACCAACAGTTTCTTTACTACACGAGGAACTAAAAAAAACAGATAGATTTCAAAGGATCAAAATCAAGCCTTAGGAGAATTCTGAAGGAGCTTGGATTCAGATGGAGGAAAACGCAGAACAACCGAAAAATGCTGATTGAGACAAACGAAATCCGGGAAAAGAGAATTTCTTATTTGAGAGCAGTCAAACGTTTCAGAAATGAGGGTCGTACTATTATTTTCATGGACGAATCATATATTTTAACAAGCCATGTTTCAAGTCTATCGTGGTCTGACAACTCAACCAAGGGAATGCGTGTACCCATTTCTAAAGGACAACGCCTAATAATGATTCATGCAGGAAGTGAAGCTGGTTTTGTCCCTAACGCATTGACGATGTGGAAGGCATCGAGCACCACGGGTGATTATCACGACAATGTCAGGAAGGAAACCATGATCAAGTGGATGAAAGAGAAACTTCTGCCGAACATACCACCGAAGTCCGTGATAGTTGTAGATAACGCACCTTATCACAATGCGCAATTAGACAAAGCACCCACATCAAATAGTAGGAAACAAGAAATGAAGGACTGGCTAACCAAACATGGAATACAATATTCAAACGAAATGCTGGTTCCCGAGTTGTATAAGCTTGTACTGCTGAACAAACCAAGATTCGTTCGATATGAAATTGATGAACTACTCACGGGTACTGACCATGTTATTCTTCGTCTCCCCCCCTACCACCCAGATCTAAACCCAATAGAACTTATTTGGGCTGAAGTAAAAGGTTACGTAGCTAGCAGAAACGTAAATTGTAGCTTCGAGAGCATCCGTTCATTGGCACAGGAAAAATTTGATATCATTGGTGCAACAGAGTGGAAAAACAAGTGCGACCATGTAAAAACTATTGAAAATAATTACGCTTCAGCTGAGCCGCGGATCGACGACCTCGTGGAATCAATGGTCATATCAGTAGGAAACAGCGACAGCAGTGATGAAGAAGACGATGATATGAGTGACATTGAAGACCTGGGTTAAAATGTATATAGGCCTTACCTTGTAAATAGTTAATAAACTAAAATTTGTTAATCAACTTTTATCATTCAACTATTTAGGCCTACATTTGCTTTTACTGGTGTTTTATATTTATTTTCAGTTTGATATTTTATGCTTATGATAATACAGCCGCGGTTAGATAAAAATCAGTCATAAGCTTAAAGAAGTCTTTTAGTAGTCGTCAATTTTACAAGATTTGTCAAAGTGGTTTATATTTTTGAAATCTGAACAAAAAATAATCCTTCAGTTACATTTGGATATGGGTAAATGAATTAATAAAGCATCCAGTTAATAAGATGATTATAGACTTTAATTAAGTATACAAACATATTTATACTAAGACCTTGTGTAAATAACCAAACAACAAAGGTTATAAATTTAGCAACAATCAGTAAATTAGGAAAGTCCACTCATTTTACAACCGTCCAACGAGTAACCCATAAGCGATAGAACTCCACATTTCAACGAGACAGTAGGCCTATGAATGGTCGTGGTTAATAAATAAATCGTTCTCGTGTTCTTATTTTCTCCTCTAATCCAAGATCCCGATCTTCTTATCACTTTACTTCAGCAAATGAGCGATCAGCATGAAGTGATCCAACTCACATATTCTCATTCTTTCACATTTCTCTTATATCAGTATTTTAACGTCAAATACTAATTTAGGCCCTTAGGTCATACCTTTTTGTGGTGTAGTTTAGAACTGACGTGAAATCTTTGTCTTTTTCAGCAATTTTATGGGTATTTTGTTTGTTTTCACACGTTTTCCCTCGGTGGGAGCAGTCACATTCTTCTAATCCCTAAGAAGGATAGTCACCTTTATTAACTTGGCCTTCCAATTGCGACTTGAGGTTCCGATTTTTTGTTTAAATTATGTTGTTGTTATGCTATGTTATTATGTTCATCTTGTAACATAATTAGAAGGATTCTCAAATTGTACACCTAATAATGATACTGAAAGGTACAAAATTAGAAAAACGTGTGTTTATATTAAATTAAGAAAAAAAACGAAACGTGAAAAAAGGTTAAGAATATCACAAACAAAACATTGAACTGTTTACAAGTAAAAAGGTAAACAAACAAATAAACACTGACAGCGATTTTATGTGACAGCAAAACTGACTAATGTTTTTAGAAAAGAGCCCCCTCACCTCCCCGCATCCACACGACAGCTGTTACAACCACGAGCACAGACTAATGGTACCATCAGTACTAGGTATTTCTATTCATGGGATGTGGAAAATTCATCAAAAGAATATAATGCTAGATTTATTAAATGCTCCTTTAGAATTTTCTTGAATTTAGATTTAGATAGGTTCGTTTATTTTTTTATGAATTCAGGGACAAATTTTAGAAAATCATTACCAGCATATAAGTTATGAGGGTTTTTTTCAGAAAATTTTAATTTGTGAGGCTGGACAAACTCCCTTCTCCTCCTAAAATTATAAGAATGCACTGAATTTATTACTTGCTCAGATTCATTTTTTTTTTTTTTTGCAATAAGAATTAATTGTTTCATAAATATATTGCCCATAAACTGTAAAAATTTTTAATTTCTTAAAATGTTCTTTTGCCGAATCATCTCGTTTAAGATTAAGCATAATTCTGATAGCTTCTTTTTGTCGCTTCAGAATACTATCCATATTTCATATTTTTGTTGACCCATATATTTATGAAAGAAGGAATTGAATTTAAATTTAAATCTAAATCTGTAACCATGTTGCTAAAATAGGCCTAACCATTAAACATATTTGAAATTTTACCAGGGTCTAAAATTGTTTCCGAATTTTGTTTTAAAATTATATTTTCTAATGGTTTCTTGTCATTTTCCCCAACTTCAGAGTTAATTATATTCCAGACGGTTTTCTGAATGTTTTGGGAATTTCCAATTTTTTTTTGGAAATATCTGTTTTATAGGTGCTCCCTTTACTACGTGCATGCTAGGCTATATTGGTTTTACCTTTTTTGCTTGGAGCAACAAAGTACCTTAAGTACTTAATGAACAAATACCTGTACGAACCTACTTCATCTTTATTCCCAAATTGTTTTCTAAGAGTAACCGTTTAGGTTATTCCACTTCATACAAAATATTGATTAAACACTACAATAAATCTCAAATATAAATGTTAGTAAATTTACAAAAAAGACTGGAATAAATCTTTAACATATGTTTTGAAATAAAAACAAAGAAGATCTTCATTTAATCTTGAATCGTTTCTTTAATCTTGAAAACAACTTGTTTCAACTTTGACATAAGTAAAAAGTCTTGATTATTATGGGTAACGTTATCCCTTTATATAGTTGGTTTTATACAGTATACATTACTGTACATTGCAGAATTGACTGAATGAGCAATCCAAATGTAGCCTAATATTGCTTACTTGCTTAATGATAAATCACGATCAGCTGTATTGAAGTAAACAAAAATCAGCAGTAAATGCCTTCTAATGCTATTCTTATGGAGAACATTTTACGTTATATCTACTTTTGTATTAAGATTTTGGGAATAACACTATTTTTCCCGCCGTCACGGGATCGAAACCTTTAATTTGAGCCCTCTCCCGTCATTCTACGACTTCCCAGTCGCCCACAATTTTGATGCAAAGAATCGGCTTACGTAATTAATATATAGAATAGATAGATTGGTTCCCTATTTAAATAACATTAGATTTAATTAGTGCTTATGTTTGCTGCTACGGGGAAGGTAAAAGTGTCTTTTGACCATACGTCAATAGTAGCCTATAGGATGAAATAAATAAATTTGCCAAATTTTATCAATATATATCCATAAACAAGTAAACTACAACAATTTTCATTTTCTCCATAAGAATAACATGGGAATTTTAAATTACACTATTTTTGAATTTTCTCCGTGACCGTTAGGCATACAACAGCGCTTCAATAGCCTATATTAAATTATTTCATTTTTAAGCTCTACATAACGGTAGAGCTTAACTCGGCAACGTTGTTGAAGTAACCAGATGAGGCAACCTGTTATTGACAGGCGAAAAACTTTACGTTGCGTTGCTGGAATACAACTTTAGGCTAAATAACATCTCTAATTTCATCCCATGTGTTAAAGTTGCCACCAGTTTTTTAATCGGAATCATAGTTGTTTTAAGCCACCAGCAGATGGTGATGATCTCAATTAATAATTTTTGTCGAATACACAAACTTTTTCACCTAGTCAAACTGATGGAACCACTTATTGTGAGCTACAGTAGCGACTTTTATGATCCGACAACTATGTCAGCTACGACAAATGAGGAAGGTAGAAAATAGAATTTTTGAAGGTAGTGCATTCTGTTACTGGCTGACAAAACTATGATAAAAAGTTGCCAGGTGGAGGTAGCCTTAAGTTGGAGAGGTGGTGAGGTTGTAGATTAACCTAAAATAACTAAGTTAATATTAACCTCCAATAAAAAAAAAACAATTTTTACAGCAGTAACATTAAACGTACTTTTTAGTTTATTACTAAATTTTAAGTTTTTTAATACACTTATACTATTGATTGTTTTTTTTTTTTACAGTCCAAGACAATTTTATACTATGCCTATTGATGTTTCAACAAATGAACTCATTGGTAATGAAAGTAAGCCGTCAACTTCAACAGAAAAAAGTAAGCCTTCCACTTCAACAGGAAAAAGTAAGCCTTCCACTTCAACAGGAAAAAGTAAGCCTCCCACTTCCACAGGAAAAAGTAAGCCTTCCACTTTATTAGAAAAAAGTAAGCCCTCTACTTCAACAGAAGCTGGAAAGTCAGGGCCAACAAATGATTGCAAAACATCACAAAAACAAAAACGCCCTACAAAAAAAGTATCAAAGAAATTCTCCCATAGCACTTCTAGAAAAAAAATTGGCAACTTGTCAAACAAAAAGGGTAGGCCTAAAGGCTCCACATCAAAATCAAATGTGGCAAAAGAAAATGAAAATGTTGTTCATAAAGAAATTAGCGACCACAAGAAAGACAATGAACCATCATCTGAATTAGGACTAGTTGATGTTATGTTGAGTTTGCCCTCTACTTCAAAAGGTGGCCTGCTTAAAAAAACACAGGAAAATTCAAACAATCAAGATACAGCTTCAATATCATCTTCTGTCATAAGTGATGAGATTGATAAAAACGTCAGTGTTTTCGTTGACTCTAACCGTAGTGTAGCGACTGCTATATTTCTAACACCCTCGGATACATCTGAAAACCAATCGCAAGAAACAATTGTATCCACAAATAGCTATGATTCTTTCATGGCACCCTTACCTGATGCTCCAAGAAATGTGAATAATGACGATCAAATTCCAACAAGTTCAAGTTTTCCTGGTCAAGAAAACCTACCACAAGAAACAATCACTTCAATAAAAAGTTGTGATTCTGTAGCATCCGAATCTGCTGCACCAACAAATGCTGATAGTGATTATGAAATTCCAACCTGTTCAAGTTTTCTTGGCCAAAGAACCATATCACAAGAAACAATCCCATCCATAAAAAGTTGTGATTCTGTAGTATCCGAACCTGCTGCACTAACAAATGCTAATAATGATTATGAAATTCCAACATGTCCAAGTATTCCTGGTCAAGAAGATGATGAAAATATTTCTTCAAAAAACAAAGGGCTTCGGCGAAGTGCACGCATTAGGGTAAAAACTGAACAGATTGATTATAATGAGCAGGAGGAGGATAATGATAAATCTGACATGAAGCAATCCAACACGGAAAATAAGAAATCCAACACGGAAAATAAGAAATCCAACACGCAAAATAAGCAATCTAACACGCAAAATGAAAGTGATTCTAACATGGATGAACAATCCTCCTCAGACGAAAGTGAGGTTGATATGCAATATAAACAACGTACTACTGCTGAGATCATTCATGAAATCAATCAAAGAGCTCCCAGCCAAAACAGAAAGAATTGCTCTATTAGAGGGATGACGATGGTCGTAAGTACTTTACAATTATTAGTATTTATAAAAATTAGTTAAGTTAAAACTATGTTGAGAATAACAAACGTTGATTGTTGTTAAGTGCCTTCCCGAAATTTGAGCAGGTTTAATGTTAAATTTTATTTTTCTAGTTGAAGTTTTCAATATTCTTTTCTTTTAATTGTTTTCAATTCCCAAGCTGGACTAGACTTAGACGAGAGTAGAGTGAGAGTGAGTCAACCATCTATTTTGTTGAGTGCTTGTTATAAAAGCTGCATATTAAAATCAATTAGTTTGTATTACATGTCAGCGACAGCACTCATGCATCAGCATTTTCAGTTAATTTTGACTGATATTTTTGTCTTGCAAATGCACACAAAGTGAGGTTCCGAGACCTCTATAAAATAGTTAATTTGAAATATTAATACCATTAATTACGGTACACATTATGACAATTAAAATTTTTGTATTTTGACTTAGTTTTGTTACGCTTCTCTCCATGTGGGGGGGGGGGGAGAAAGGAGTTAGTTGATGATGAATATACAGTAGTTGGATGTAGTCGTATATACATATATGTATGTCCTAACGAGCATTGCTCGATTTGTAAAAATTGAGGTGCCGGAACACAAGAGATGTACCAGAACGCCGTTCCGCCGCAAATCGAGCACTGCTAACGAGTATATGTACATAGAGGTAAAACTTCTCGTTGTTGATCATTTAAGTGTATGATTACTTTTCTTTGCACTGCGTGGAACTTTCGCATTTCACATTGTAACAAACCGTGTTTGTCATATTTTTGGGCCAACTGGTAAGCATTGTTAAAAAATTTTAAATTACAAAATTAGTACGGTAACTAACTTTGTATAAGCCTACAATCACCTATTTTTTTTCTTTTAGGACACAACTCAGAGGTATGGAAAAAGAAATTTGTTACCAAGAGAACATTTTCTTGTCAGTTTTCGAGTTCATAAGCCCTTCAAACATGCTCCAGGATTAAAAAATTTTCGTATTGGAAAGTGCTTGCAAGAAATTGACGTGCTTAACTTCCAAACTCTTTTTAACTTGCGGCAAAAAATTATGTGTGAATTAGACTACCAAACAACAGATGGTGAAATCAGCGAATGGCCTTTTGATAAGAAACAAAATTTGGCAAAGGTAAGTGTGTCTTTACATGGAATGAACTATTGTACTGAGCAATGAATGCCGATCTTATCTCTATGGATATATTTCTGGGTAATGCATCCCTCAGGTCTTTACAGTTTAAATGTTCCACCAAAAGCTCCTAACAAAAAGACATGTTTCTGTATATATTTGAGTAGCAGCGTAGTTATAGTGAACCAATAAACAGAAGGTATCTGTTTATTAGTCAATACCAAAAATGGAAATTTTTAGATTGTGCATGTGATTGAAAGGGGATGTGGATATGGGATTTTTGGCTCTCAAATCTCTGCTTTCCTAATAAAATAAAACTTCAATTGGATTCAACTGTTTTAGTAACGCATTATAGCAAGGTTTAAATAGCTATTTATTTATACAAGAATGATAAAATCAGATTTTCTCGGCCCCGTAAGCGGGAATTTTGTTTTGGCTTTGTGGAAACACTGTACACAGGCATCTCACTCATCCATCTCGCTCTCATAGCTGATAAAACTCAACTAAGCGTGTGCCTGATTGATTGCTGTCTATAAAGTAGGCTTAATTATACTTACTATAAACAGGAAATGTTCCATGGCTCAAATAAGTTATCCCTTAAAGTTTAAATAATAGCGCATTGGAATAAAAACACAAATTGACAGGAAAAATGGTCTTCTGCCCTCCGGAGTATGTCTTATCACCTGCTTTACCCACCTGCTTTTGAATGATGTGTAGGTATCTTGGGTACGCTCTCTGATTCTAGTAGCGGCCCTTTTTATGGTAGGTGTGTGGTTGTTGGTGGAGTTGTCATTTGGTTGATAGATGACGAGTTGTTGTAATTTGGTTGTTGGTGCGTGTCCTCTTTGATCCATCTTTGAGATCAGGTGTCTTTTTAATGCACATACGTTGGTGATGTTCTGTGCATTGTGCAGTCTTGTATGAAGGAGTTTTTCTTTTCTAGTTCTTCGTTCCATGCAAAATTACTACCAGTTTGCTGGTTATGGATTCCGTTACTTTGGCTCATCAACCCGGGATGTTTTAAACACATATTGATTCTTGTGTGAGCATGCACTATTACTGATTCAATAACTTTGTATCTTTGTGTATGGTACTTGTTGCATAATGGTTTTTGCCGTAAATAAATAGAATTTTGGTGATTTTTAAGATACAGAGGTTTGAATTAGTATCCTTTCCTAAAAGTGTTTTTTTTTTTCAGGATACGTACAAGTCGGGCATGTTTTACATCGACAATACCTTCTACATTGACACCGTAGAGGGCACTGAAGATTACTCTGAACCCATCAAAAAGTGGGCTCAAGAAAATCATATTGATGTTGGTAAAACAATGGCAATGCATGATAGAAAAGTGGAGGACCTCAGGGTTAGGTTTGGCTACCCTTACGTCTACATACATCAGGGCAGCTGTGAACACATCATCATGATAAGCCAAGCAAGGTGAATCCCAATCATTTATCACATCTTGATTTCCTTTTACACTAGTATCCAATATTACTTACTTGATACTTGGATTCTGCATCAGAGACCGACAAAGGCAAAAGATATTGTGTCATATATTAAGCTAAATTGAAAAAAAATGATTACGACGAGTTGCTAAAAAGTAGTGTTTCATATATTTCACTATAGGTCTGCCTACCTAAATTCTTAGTGTATCTTTAAAAGCCCCCAGTAGTTGGTTCAGCTTGCACACTCTAGCTGGGAGTGTGTTGTAGATCTTCCTGGTGCACTAAGGTTACCAGGCAAAAGGAAATCTGTGTAGGTCAAGGAGTTGGCCATGTTATGTGTGTTGGTCCTTGCGTCGAGCAAGTTTAGTTGAGTTTCCCTTGAGTTATACCATGCTACTAAGCTGTACAAGCTGTAAACAGTCAGAACTTTTAAGTCTGCAGTGGCCATGAAACCTGGCAGACGTAATCATTCTCTACACCATCTTCTGAAGTAGCAAGATGTTGTGTTGCAGTTGAATGGCCCCAGAGTGTGATACCATATCTTATGTGGCTTTGAATAAGAGTATGGTACACTGACTATATACAGTTTGGAGATAACCTGCCCAAGTACCACGTTATCCAGGTAAGCAACAAGCTCAAGATCAAGACAAGACGTAAAGCTCAAGCTTCGTAAGAAGGTACACTGTTATCTTGAGCTTGTTGCACATCTGGATAACGTGGTACATCCAAGTTAAGCTGGGGTCACAACATAAACAGCTATTCTGAGCAATAGACCCTACACAATTTTGTTGTAGTTTTGTTGCTGCCATTTTTCTCACATATTGTTTTGGTAGAAGTATTTTACTCATCAACATTTGGTGCAAAAATTGTAGTTTTTGCTGTTTTCTAGAGGGTAAGGTTTCTTAATCTGAGCGTTTCTGGGATTTGTAATTTCCAGCTTTCAAATTTGTATACATCATGTTCAGCGTTATTTGGAATTCTTATTTTGTATGTCCTCAAATCACCTAGTTTTCAATAAACACTAGTGCTTAAAGTATGTTGTCTTTACTGCTCTGAGTTGTTTTATAATTTCAACCACAACTAAGGCAAATAAAAACAGATTAAGAGAGCTTCCCTGTTGGAATGTTTTAGCCTTGACAATGAGTTAGGCCCCATCTAAACACAACAATGTTACTAATGTTGTAGCATTCCAGGTATAACATCTTAACTTGTTTTCTTCCTTCATTTAAATTAACTTAAAAAATTGTGTAGAGTTCTTCTTATATCAAACACTTATTTGATGAAGTTCTACTACTTCATTCAAACCTTAAACTAAAATTGGTTTTTTTCAGATTTATCACTGAGAAACACTCTCTGCACTCTTCTGACTATCCGAATATCACTAAAACGAGTCGTTCTTCAATAAGCTACTGTTTAATATGCACCAAGAAACCAGCCGAGTAAGTAGGCCTACTGTTTTACAAAACTATAATTTTTAACTCCTTAGTTATAAAATTATGTATAAGCAGACCTTTTGTAGCTATTTTTGCTATTACTATGCAAGTTGTCCAGTCAACCCGGAAACTAGGAATACCATGAATTGTATGTAAATCTTTGCGTTGTTATGTCAAGGAAGTGAATCACTCGTGGAAATGATCACAATGATGAATAATCACGGATGTTGCCACTATTTTTATAGATAATCACAGTTGTGCACAAATTATCGTAATTCTGGCTAGGCCTATGTCTTTGATAGATGATGGCGGATATTGATATGGTTGCTGGAGATGATCACGCTTGTTGTCGCAAACATGGAAAGACATAACGGATGTTTCTGTGATAGCGGGTAATCATAAAAGATGTTGCCAGCATTGCTGGAGGTGATGACGAATGTTGTTAAAGTATATATTGTGGTTGTGCTGTTGGTTGGCTTTTCATGATGTTTTTACTGATTATAGTTGTCAATCCTACAATGTTTAAATTGGACGTTGACCAAGTAACATGACTATTGCCACTTTTAATCAATCAATAGTTATTTCAAATTTTTTCTTATTAAAATTAGCTTTTATTAAATGCTAACACTGTTGTTATTGTTTCAGTCGAATTGTTATGGGCAGTGATCGTATGCCGCACGACGTGAACCTTATGTGCCAAGATTGTTTTATATCTTACCATTACGTCGGAACACAGAAAATTTGTAGATTCAAGGCCTACAAATGGAATCAGAGAGCACTCCTATTTAATTAAGTTTGTTGAACACTATAGATTAAGTTATGCCTTCTAGCTATCTGAGGCCTAAATGCCTCCATGTGTGATATAAATTAATTATTTAGTGTTTTGTTACTACAGAGGTAAGGATTTGCTGTGATGGAAATAGCCTTTTTGTAAGGAATTTAGTGTTTTTAAACAAGGCTCGTAGTTTTCATTTTAAACAAAAGTGGTAGGTACTTCTGGTACCTATATTGATTACAATGATTGATGTTTAATGTATTGTTTTAGTCCTAGCTGGTTCTTTCTACCGGACACTCTGTATTTTGCATTTGTCTTCTTAGGAGCCAGTTTGTAAAAGTTGAATTCTTTTGAAGACATGTCTTCTTTGATGTTTATGTTTTATATTTATTTGTTTTTTTTTACCACACTTCAGCTCTTTTTGGAACCTAAAGACAGGTGAGTAAGACAGTGGTGAAAACTAATACTTGCCATATTCAGTAGTTTCAAACTCAGCCGCAGTTCTGTGAACATTGTCTTCACTTTGATATCGATTGGCAATCGTAATCCTAAAATCAAAAACATGGTGCTGTTGATGCTGTGTTTTTTTATTGATTAACTGATTTTGAGAGGTTTTTTTTCTCAGACAACCTTATTTTCTCATTGTAATTTAAATTAGCATTAATTTTAGAGTGTAGTGAAAAATATCCAAGTGTTAACACCTTTTGTGAAAACGTTTGCAATCTTGGTTAGTCTTGGTTGTTTTTTTTTTTTTTTATTATTTGACAGTGTAATATAAACTAAGGAAATGCATTCATTTAGACAACAGTGGTGTGCAATTGGTGTTTAAACATTGAGCATTCGGGCACCTTGGGGCACTTGTATCTAGAGCACAGTATGGAGGTCTAATTTTCAAACAACATCTGAGGGCATATTCTGGTAATTTCAAACGAAGGCTGACTTCCAAGTTGCTTAGAGTCTATGATTTGTCAGCGGAGACCTGTAACTAAACATATCCACAGAAATAGTCTGTTGGCATAATATCACTTAATTATCAACGCCAGTTAGTTATACCTTCACCTTTTTAAACGATATGATAATCTATCAATCGTTTCTCTCAAAAGAATCACCAGTATGCATGTCTGGCTGAATAATGGTTTAGTTACGGTAAGGCACAAAACAACTGCGTATCATTGATTGGCAGTGATCTAAATTTAACGGTATGTAAATTATACCACAAGCTGGAATGTGTGTTCAAAAATTTGATTTCCAGACTGTTTCCTAAAGGAAATAAAATTTGTTTTATCACTGTAATATAAATTGTTTAAAATATATACATATATTTTAAATCACAGCACTAAAACACCCCTTGCGATTGCAAGTGCAAACTCCATTTTCAGCCCTCAGTGAAAATATACTGTTTTGTAATGTAATGTCATAAATATTTAGGTTTTTTATGTTACGACAACTCCATGTCTTATTTTAATATTAAATACTTCTGAGACTGATTTCAGAGACTGATGTTAAGTTTAGGTGTTAAGTTTAGTGTACTTTTATGACAGTATTACACTTACATTTTTGTATTGAAGTGTCAGTTTTATTATCTGAAATCCACCTTAGTTTCCTAAAAGTTAGATAAGGTAGGGAAACTTATTTCAGACTGATTTGTTATGTAAAAGGATCTGGTAGATGTTATGATGCAATCAAAACTAGAGAACTACTTTTCCTGGTAACAAATTTTGCAAGGTTTTGTTTTGTGATTCTAAAAATAAAATCTCTAAAACAAATATACTATTTTTGGATCTTTCCAGAAACATTTGTTGTTCCATCATAAGTTCTTGATTTCTTTGTTGAAATTTTATTTAAATAATAAAGATGTCATAAAAATAATGATTTTCTATAAATACTAGCAGAATAATGACAATTTAGGTTTAGTTATTGACCTTAATTACCTCTGACTGAACTAAATTAATTGTTTGACTGTAGGGTTAGGGTTACTTAAAACCGGGAAAAGGAAAAGGGAGCCTATTTTTTTTTACAAAGAAAAAAGGAATTTGATAATGTAGGTAGAAAAACTATTTCAGCAGGGACAAAAAAGTGGCTGATCACATTCCTAGGGATATGCCTTTACTACAAATCTTGTGGATAACCTAAAGAAAAAGGCAAAACGTTTCATATCTAGTTATAAAATTAATCTTGTCTTAGTTAAATCATTAACCTTTTCTCTCATCCATCTAGTTTGGTGAAAAACATAGGCAGGCAACTCTTCATCACCCATAACTTTCAAAAGAACTACGGTTTTCTCTAAACTAGCTCTAACAGAGAGTTATGGTGATGGGTGGAATCCGATTTCGTCAGTTAAGAACTAACTGTAGTTAGAGCGAGGCTTAACGGCGGTTTAAGTATTTGGTGAAATCGGGCCTTAGTCGGTAGATGTCTTCAATTGTGGGTAACAGACCACTTCAGTACCAAGAGGCTGATCTTTATGTGGTACCGTACTCTTAAGACTCCAATGGGTTAAAGTCTGCCTGCTTCATGCTATCCTTGTCCAGTGAGTCATTAAATCAATGATTGAAACAAATTAGGCCTACACAGCAATTATTATTTTTTTAGAATACCAATTAATAATGTTATATAGGGAAGCCAAATAGCATAAGTTTGGGATTCAGCTGGTTAGGAATATTTTTGCATCAACATGATCCTTTTCTCTCAGATTGAAAACAATGGTGGAGTTTTTCTCATTATTAACTCAAATTTTTCGTAAAGCCAAATTATTGAAGAATTTAGCCTACTTTTTTCTAGCCCACTGAGTAATAACATAACAACTCCCATTTCAATCAACTGAAGTAACAATGGCCAAGTTGGTTGAAAAGAAGGAAGCTGTAGCTTGCACCATCCCCATAGTACCGTAAAGTATGTATAAACACAGGCTAGGGAACAAAATAGCCCCGTGCCTGTGCTGTGGTATTTGAAAAATCTAAGGGAACCGCAATAACCGGTAGGTCGGGTGCACTGGCACTCTGATTTTTATTGGTGCCCCCCATTCATCGGTTTCAGATTGTCCTCTCTGGCGCCATTAGCTTGATGGGATTACTTGATACTTACTTGCTTGATACTTGATGTGTTGCCACTGGAAGCGCTGCTGCGCCGTGGACGTCAGTTTTTTTTTTTTCTTTTTATTTCTTTTCTATGGATTTACCATAAAGTCTTCAATTTTATATAACGGGGATTCCGTTAATATATCCTTCAATTTTTCTTTGAAAGATTCCATGGAAGGTTCTTCCTTAATCTCATTTGGTAGTCTATTAAAAATTGTTACACACTGATAGTGAGGGCTATTTCTTGCTAAAGTTGAATTAATCTGAGGTACATGTAAATTTTTCTTCTGTCTCGTATTAATGTTATGGACGTTGTAATTTTGAATAAAGCATTGGGGAGATTTCTTAACTGTTACTGCTGCTTCAAATATGTAAAGAGACGGTAAGGTTAAAATTTGCAGTGATTTAAAAAAAGGTGCACATGGTGTTAAGTAATGTTGCTTACAAATTGTTCTAACTATTCTTTTCTGTAGGATAAAAACTCTCTTTGCATCAGGGCTATTTCCCCAAAAGAGTACGCCATAGGCTATTACACTCTGAAAGCACCCATAGTATATTTTTAGTAATACTTCTTGATCAACTATGTTTTGGAGTCTTCTTACTAAGCAGTATACAACTTTCAGACGTTTTATCATACCATCAGTATGTTCAGTCCAGTGCAAATTTTCTGTAATTGTAATTCCAAGACATTTGGCACTATGGTTGATTTTGATGCTATTTCCATTCATTTTGAGTAAAGGTGAACAATTTGGAATTTTCCTATTGTAAAAATGAAGAACATTTGTTTTGCTTTGATTTAGTGTTAATCCATTTGAGCTGCACCATGAAACAATTTCATTTATTCCCTGTTGAGCTTCATCAATTACTTCTTTGATAACTTTTCCTGTAAATAGTTAACTGATGTCGTCTGCAAAGAGCCAAATATTACCCTTTGTCACTGAGCATGGCAGATCGTTAATAAAAAGCAGGAAAATTATAGGCCCGAGGTTTGAACCTTGCGGGACACCTGTGTTTATCAAAGGAGAAATTTTTGACTTCACAAATTTTGATGTCTGGTTTGAATCTGTATATTTTATAGAAACTACTTGTGTTCGATCTTGAAGAAAAGGCATTATCCAATCTAAAGCTGTATTTCTTATTCCCATACTAATTAGTTTAATCCTCAGTTTACAATGATTTATGCAGTCAAACGCTTTAGTCATATCATAGAATAGACAAAGATTTTCTTCCATAAGATCCAGATTTTTATAGACTGACCCCAAGAGTGTAAAAATGGCATCAGACGTAGATTTACCCTTACGGAATCCAAATTGTTTATCAGTAATAACATGATTTATTTCTAAATAATTTATAAGTCTATTTATGAAAATAATCTCAAAGACCTTAGAGAAAACCGATTGCACAGCAACAGGTCTGTAGTTATTTACAAGTTTCTTTTCATTCTTCTTATGAATTGGTACAACTTTTGAAGTTTTTATTTGATTTGGAAACACTCCTGTGCTTAGTGATTTATTAATTATTTTTGTAAGGGGTTTTACAACAATGGTGTTACAATATTTAAGTAAGTAGCAAGGTACCTCATCAATTCCAGCGCATTTTCCTCTTCCTACGTGATTTAGAACAGACATCACCTCTTCTTCTGTCGTATGGGGCAGGTTCATTTCCACTTCATTTATATTTGCATCATTTAGATCAACTCCAGTCGACGCAGCAGCAGCAATCCTATTTACTTCCTCCACAAAAAAAGAACTAAACAACTGTGCAACCTCAAAGGGGTCGTGAATTAGCCTATCACCCTCCAACATGGACATGTTTTCGCAGCCGCCCGCACCATCATCCGTCAGGTCCCTGACAACCCTCCACGACTCCCTGCTCACATTTTTGGAATTTACAATTTTATCTCTGTAGAAATTTTTTTTAGAGTTTTCAACCAGCTGAGAGTGTCTTCTTATTTCATTTTTATATCTAATTTTTATTTCATTATCATTTTTTGATTGTCTAGTCTCCCAATAGGTGTTCATCACTCTCTCCTGAGATTTCTGCAGTTCATCATTCATCCATCCTGTATTATTACATTTTTTTATTTCCAGCTTTCTCAAGGGAAAGCATGAGTCAAAAGCAAATAAAAATGTAGAATAAAATTCATTAAACAATTCATCACATGTCTTGTTTATGTCCAAATCTTGGTTAAGTTTTAAGTTGAGGTATATACAAAAAGCATCAATAGATGATTGATTTATCTTCCTTTTAACTATACTTCTTTTTATAGTTTCATTTTTGTTAACTTTAAAAGACATCATTAAAAAACAATGGTCGGACAAAAATGTAGGTCTAACTTCCGTATTACTGACTTCTATTCTGGGGTCAACCACAATGTAATCTAGTAAACTACTAGATTCATTTGTTATTCTTGTTGGATCTTTAATTAAATTTGAAAGTTCATAAGAACAGAAAACATCATTCAATGCTCTCATATTATAGCTATCCTCCAAACCATTTATATTAAAATCCCCTGTAATAATTACAGGAAAGTCAAATTTACAGCTCAACATGTTCATTGTTTCGTCAAGTGATTCAATAAAACTGTCTAAGTTACTCTCATAAGGTGGACGATATATTGTCAAGACAACAAATTTAAAATCTACGTTGTAACTAATCAGTGTTGCACAGCATTCAAATTTTCCCTCTAAGGCTATCGAGTTCATACATTCAATATTTGATGCCTTCAATAATGGTTTGTCTTTTATCAAAATCATTACTCCTCCACCCACTTGGTTCACCCTACAATAGGTGGCAGCAACTCTGTACCCCTCTATTTTAAAACACTTAACCTTTTCATCTGTAAGCCAAGTTTCAGCTACACATAAAACATCACATTTATTATCCTTTAGAAAAACTTCTAGGTCGTCAATTTTCTTAAAAATAGATCTAACATTAACAAAACCTATGCTAAGTAGGCCTACTTGCCTAGATTTGATCATTAGCCTAGGCCTAGGCCTCACTAGTTTTTTTGACTATCAATGGAAGCCACTGACCTTTTTTGTAAGTATTTGTTAACCAAAATACCTTCAGGCCAAACTTCAGATTTTGCCAAGATTTCTGAGTATTCACTTGCCACTTGGTATTCCTTATCTTGAAGGACGAGTACGTTGGATAACGAACGAGTCCCTAGTTTCTCGCAAATTACATCATTCCCATTGCAAAGGTTTATAACAAATGCCTTTACATCTTCAGCAGAAACTTCAGGGCCTAGTCTTGACACAAAAAGCCAATTTATTCTCTTTATTACGTTTAGGCTCTCATTTCTTGCAGCTTTTCCAATAATTGGTTTAGAGAGTCTAGTTTTCTTCTGAATTTCACTATTCACATTTTGATAATTTTTATTTCCAGGTGAAAACTTTCTTTCCAATTTCCGTGATCTCACAGTTTTCCATGAATCATTCAAAGGATTATTTACATCACTTTCATTTTCAGCACAAGTTTCTTCTTTTTGTACATCGTCATCAACAATCATTTCACAGCCATAACCTCGAACATCATGTGCTTTTTTTTGCGGTGATGTGGATTTTTCTGTCTGCTGACAGCAGAAGCATAACTCTCAGAAAGACTCATTGGATTTTGGGAATCATTATTGAGTTTTCCTTTTGTACTGTCGCTAAGACAGATGTCATAACTACTCGAGTTGCACTTTTTATTGGTGACGTCATTTGCCACCTCAGTCACATTTAAGCTTTCTAACCTAGTTTTATCATTTATCATTGAATCAAGTTCCCCTCCGAGTGTCACGTGTTTTGGCCTTAATGTCAGCCTATTTTTTGCTCATTTGCAAGGTTTTATTAAAACTGATCTGAGAAGCTTAAAAACAATGTTAATTATACTGTTCTATATACCATTTTGTTTGGAAAATCTTGGGCTTCAATATTATATATAAAACATAAGGAAGATTAAAAAAAAAAAAATTTTTTTAGGTAAAAAAATGTATAATTTCGAAAATTTTCAAAAAAAAATAAGTTTGCGCTCAATGAAATTGTATAAATTATAGGCCTATAAATATTTGAAAATAGCCACTTTGTTCTAAATTTTATGAGGATTACAAATCTATAATAATATAAGGAAGTAGATTTGCAAATAAAAAAGTTATGGGCAAAAAACAGATTTCAGTACATAGCGTTTAGCTAAGAATGCATAGCCCAACCATAGCTAGGAATCTGGCTGATAATTTACATCAATATTACTACCTACTTCTTCAGGATCATCAACCAGCACTTCAAAACCACTTAAATCTTCTTATAATGCACCACGTATATCACTACTTTTGATTTTTAACACTAAAACAATGATAAACGTAATAAAACACATCAGTCATCGGTCCGAGGGTAACCTAGCTGTTTACAAATACACGCACGTCAGCTCAGTCAGCTGTCTGCTACAATATTTTCGGAACTAAAATGAATAGTGCTTAGAGACAGACCTCTGCAGAAAGCTTAGAATATTACGGACAGAACGATACCTAACTCAATCCAGTACAGTCCGATTCAGTTAGTCATAGAGCCTTCGCCGTAAACAGTGTTCGCGAGTCGCTGCAGCGACGCACGACACTATACAAAGTGCGTTACGCGTCGCTGCAGCGACGCATGACACTCGGAGGGTTTTAATAAATTTTCATTTACAAGGTCATTAACTGTTCCTACCAGTTTTCCTAGTGTTTGTTGGAGCTCAAAATAATCCTCAAATCCAAGCTTGAAGTTCTTCGTGGTTTCCAGCCTATCGCTGCAGCTAAGACACATCCACTTTTTTTGTCGCCCATTTCATTAATAACATTGATTGATCATAAATACACAGCCATACATTAAAGAGAATAAGAAACTCGCTTTTGGGACGACCATTGTGTGAATTCATCTCTGATATGTTGGAAGAGCTCAAACGTGAGGAAATTCCTATCTAAAGGACGCAGGAGTCTCCCTCCACTTGAGCGTTGTTGTAGTACGTACATGATGTCGTACCCAGCAGGGCAGCTGCCCCCCTAGAAGCAGGATAAGGTATAAAAATTGAGATCCAAGAAAAATTTTATTAGTATGAGAAAAGATGAGTAAGATAGACTGATTTTTATAACATTTTTTGGCACGTTATGAATTTTTCATTAGTTTCTGAGTTATTTCTTCAATGAAATAAAAATTCCTACATTAGTAATAAACAGACCAATCTTGCAATATGTATAAACTAACAACTTTGTGTAGTATAATGAATTAATATAATGGTTATTTGTGCAACTAGTGAGCAAAGGGAGCAATTGACTCACTCGAGACGGCTCGTGAGGAATGTTTTCTTGAGTGAGGCAATTGCACTTTGCTCTCGAGTTGCACATTATATTTTTCCTACAGTTACCATAAAACAAATTGGCAAAGAAACGTAGCATATTTTTACACAGAAGTGAACTTTAAATATGACATTTAATGTGAAGTAACAAAACAACAGTACAACAGCTGACCAGCTGATTTACAGCCGGTGCTGCCAACGTATTTCGCGCGCATACGACCTTGTCTGCATGTTACGCGCTCACTATTTCGTGCCTTCCCGTTGCAAATCTGGTGTGAGACAAAGTAATTAGAGTGAGACAATGTTAACATTGTCTCACTGATGAGCGAATTGGCCACTTTGCTTTCTCAAATCAGTGAGAGAACATGTACATTGTTAGGTAACTGTAGGAAAACCTATTTTTGTAACATTATTTTGTTTTCATTTGCCTTCCGCAACAATAATGTAACGAACAAAATTGCTCTACGGCATAAGTTATCAGGCATTTTTCAAAATAGTTTACCACACATTTTGGGTGTTATAAATGGATGTGAAAAGTTGGCATGGACACAAAAATACAGTTAAATTTTTATTGTACAGCTAAGCAACCTGACCTGACCCCATTGACGGACATAAAGCCACTTCATAAACTAAGACCATAGATAAAACTAAGACTTAAACGCTGGGTTTGTTATATTAATGTCTCAAAATAGCGTAAAATACGCTAATTTCTCATTTTTTTAAAATTTCCCCCGGACCCCCCCCCCCTCCATGCTGGGGGGTATTCCATACACCCCAGGCCCACCGGTGTGCCACCCCTGTTTCAAGTACGCTCTTGCCCCCCCCCCTAGTTTTGATCCTGGAGGAGTATGTTTTATCTATGATCCTAGGTACGCCCTTGTGCTAATTGCTACATTTGTGTTTTTTAACACCATAATAAAGAAATCTTATATTACTATAGTATCTCGTGATAGCTAACAAATTAGTGCTGAATATTGAATAGTAATAAAATCTGTAATATTTGTATGTAATAATTAAAGCAATGCATTATGAATTTAAAAACTATAAAACCATCTAAGAAAGTGATATCTATAACCATTGCTCAGTATCTCTTTGTAGCCATTTCAGTGTGTTGGCAAACGTGATAATATAGAAATCGAAATCAAAATAAACAGAAGATCAGCTGTTTTTTTCACTTCTGTGTTGTTCTGTCCGTCATCGCGATCAAACGTCATCTCCACTCATCATCATCCATGTTGATGTCGGTCGTTCATTGATATTGTTTATTTTATCGTTTGTGTTCGTTTGAGTGTTGTCTTATATGTTTATTAGTTAATGGTTAATGGAATTAGCCCTAAAATAGATGGTAAAGCACTTTATTTGTCTGAACCAGCCTAACACATAAAAAATTATGGTATTGCATTAAATCTCCTAAATTTTCTAGTTAATTATAGCCTAATTAATTTACTTACTCTAACTAGTCAGATTGCAAATTGAAATGGTTGGCTTTGACAAAATGTCCAGTTCAGTTCGTAATTCAGAAATGAGAAAAGAGGTGCTAGATTTGATGTCAGAAAAAAACAAAATTGAAGCAGAGATCAAGCAATTCCATGACATTCTTTCTTGTGTAAGTATCTAGCCAATTGTATTTACCAATGCAATAGGCCTACAGTAACTTAATTACCCTTTTGATAAACTACCTTGTTCGGCCTACAGTAGGGCCTACTTAACTTAAAGAAAAAATCTATTAGCATACAAGGCCTAATTAAGTTACTGTTAAAAGATAACAGGTGTTTAGTGCATTTCCTATCAAACTCGCACTTAACTTATACAGTAAACTCTGACCCAATCCGGAGACAGTTTGGGTACACTTCCATATCTGTTGGCACTAATATCGAATGAGTACTTTTTATCGATATATCGAACAATCGATATATCGATAAAAAGTACTCATTTGATAGTTTGGTTAGTTAGGTTAGGTTATATATCGATTAATCGATATATCGATAAAAAGTACTCATTCGATATAATAAGTACTCATTCGATATTAGTGCCAACAGATATGGAAGTGTACCCGACAGTTTATTTAAGCTGAGCTATCCCAACGGCTAAGCCACACATTAGTCACCTCCATATGGGTATTTATTCTGTATAGGTGCCTCCAAACGAATTTTTAATTTTGATATCTTACTTTATAGTTTTTTACCTCCTGAATCCAAATATACCATTATTTTTCACCGCTGATGAATATTTCTCAATATATCGCCGTAAAAACATACTTAACATTACGATAAACAAGATAGGATGGATAACATTTTAAGTGATTCTGTAGTCAAATAACTTAATGTTCTCTATAATAGGAATTTCGTCACATTATGGAGATATAGATGGACTGGTGGACTAATTACATGTACTTAGTTCTTATTTAGGCATGTCAGGGTGGTAGGTGGTGCTGTGTATGTGAATTGGTGACTGCATTAAGTTAATGTTAGGTTAGATTAGGAAGGTAAAGTTTAGGTTATAATGTATTAAGTTGTTAGTTTACCGGTATGTCGCCTGCAGACTGTTTTTGTAAAATTAAAATCCTGAGAAAAACACTTCAAATTACTTTTTTTTTAAATGCTTGCATTTTTCAAAGGATAATCTGGGAAATTTGGGCCTTGAGGATGAAACTATTTGAGTAAGTTACCTAAAACAGAAGACATACCGGTAGCATTTAAATAAGCGGTTTGTATTGTCTGATGTCTGGTGATTCAAGGTTGGTAGCATGATGAGAATTTGGTCATGGTTGCCGTTAAAACCAATAACACATAAAATGAGGGGCGATGATTGATGAACCACAAAATGAATAAGTCAGTTGACATAACTCACAATTATGTGATATGTGCAGCGACACCAGACGACTTAAATGTACCTTGAGGTAGCCCATTGTATTTAAACTGTTGTACCTTGCCTGGATCTAATAAACATGTATCTTGCATTTGTTGGCTAACATTATAATATCCTTACAGAATAACATTGGTATGCATGAGCCATTGGTGGACAGAGAAGGATTTCCCAGAAACGACATTGATGTGTACCAAGTGAGGACTGCTCGTCACAAAATTATTTGTAAGTACAATCCAAGCCTACTGCTCAGCAGTGAACAAAATCATTCTTATTGTAGCACAGCTAAACTTGGTAATAGAGAAGTCAAAAGTATAGGCTACTAACAATGTCATACTTAACTTACTTTTACTACTTTTATTACTTTTTTGTGTAATTTAATGTCATACTTGAAAATTTCAGCTGTAAAGCCCATAGGCATTTAGTTTACATCTTAACATGACGCCACATTACAGGTCTGCAGAATGACCATCGAGAAGTCATGGTGAAGATAGAGGCCGGCCTCCACAAGCTACATGGTGCCGGAGCAGAGGCCGAGTCCCAGGTGGGTGACCAGCAGATGGAAACTGAGTGGACGGAACCCTTCGCCAAGGTCACTCTGGTGACTGCCAGCTCCCCAGCCGACATGTGTGTAAGTATAACCTTTCAAAGTCAAAGTCAAAACATTCTTTATTCATTGTTTTGTAGCGTAAGTACATTGAACATTTAAGTTTAAGTTAAGTTAAGTAAGTACTTTGACTATTTAAGATTTTAAGAAGGGATTTTATAGAAATACACATCCCAAAGCTGTAGTAAGTTTGAAAATAAAAATACAGAGTTCACTGATTTCAATAACTTATGTATGTCTGTAAAATATGTCAACTTTTCAACCAAACCAAATTGAGAGTACAACTCATTATAAGCTGGAGCATTTTTTATGTCTCTTCAACTATCACAGTAAATAATAACCCTGCTGTAGCAAACCTGCAGACTTGGTGAATGTCCATTTACCTGGCTGGATGTCCACTAAAACCCTTAAGATTGTCAGATTGATTTTCTATTAAAATAACATAAATCGTTATGATTACGTAGGTTTGCTCCTACTAGAAAGTAATGAGGTTCATTTTATTGAAATGTTGATAGCTTTTTAAAATAAATAAATTAAAACGCATCCAGAAATTGAAAAATATTACCTATGTTTTAGAGCCAAAAGATTGGGAAAACCTATTTGTACCTTAAACCCTGTTACCATAATACTATCATAAATGTAGGTCTGCAAGTTTGTACCAAATTTTATGTAAATCTGATAATTTTTTATGAGTTATCGTGCCAACAGACACATACAGGGTGTCTTGCAACCCACTTATGAACACAAAATTTGAACAAACTTTGTCAAGTTAACCACCATGTCAAAAGAAACAAAAAGTGTTAGCCTACATAACATGTGCCCTATATCATTCCATTTAAGGTTTATCGGTCTGTATGTGTTTTTTACAAAGAAGTTCATAGCTCCTCAACGGTCTGAGCTACAATGTTAAGATTCTGCAAAAATGTTCATTTTGTCAGCTGCTACCTTTGTGAACAAATTAACGAAACCTGTTAATAGCTAAACAATTTTGGGTATCTATATATTAATACGCAAGCAGGTTTCTTTTCACAGTCATAACTCGATAACGGCTTGACGGATTTTAACGTTTGAGATGTCAAATTAAAGGTATTTTCATGTAGGTGTGCAAATACGTCTCAGAATATTAAGAAAGGGCATCACTTAAGTACACTTAAGGGCTAAAGTTTGGAAGGCGGCGCTATCTGTTGACATTTGATCAAACTCATTTACCTTTGTTTACAAATAACATATGGACGTAGTTTGAAATAGTTTTTAAGGTTAACCACAGACTTCCAGAGCAAAGCTGGAATTTATATTTTGTTTCAATCAGATAACTAAGTCTGGCTCATAATGAAGAGTTTTCTATCAATACTAGACAACAAATTGTTTAAGAATAAACATTTGATAAATATTTAATTCTTTTTGTCTATGGTTAAATTGATTTACCTAACATAGTATTTTACTGATTATCATGTAGTTCGATTTAATGAATTGAATGTTTAAAAGTAATTATTCACAGGGCAGTTACATTACCATATTGTCACGTGATTTACAATGTGTATCAAAATTCCAATTCCTTTATAGTGTTTTCTGTCGTTTGGTTAACTTTCTTATTTCATTTCAATTTAAAATCAAATGCCGCCAGTAGGCTACGACGAAGAACTGTGAGTGGCTGGAGGGAACGCGAACATGACCTTTGCATCAACCTCTCAATTGAACATTTGATGGGTACATAGTGGTAAGTACCACTGTTGTGATAGTCCAATCTCCGACAAATGAACGTTAAATGTTTACATTGTAGTGGCTTACTTATTTTTAAGCAAGAAAATGCTGCCCAAGACAGTTAAGTTTTTACTCTTTGTTTCCATAAATGAAAGGTTCGATTACCTCATTTATGCAATTCACCTGAAGGTATCTTCAGATTGTTATTGGAAACGCCCAATCTGAAAATAGGACTGTGAGACTTATATCCAGAAATTATTGTATAAAGTTTGTCAATTAAATTCTGCCTTTACCATGCTCAGCTTTGAAGCTCATTAAGATGAGAAAGCTCCATAGGGGATCTACAATTTTAAGATCGGTGACATGTTTTACCACCGAGTGGGTCCTCTAATTCCTCAAGAAGATGATGATCCTGAATACGCACAGATATATAAGTAAGTAGGACAATGTCACTAGAACACAAAGGAGAATTAAGCACAATTCAAACGAAAAAAATCGATGAAAATATATGCGGAAAATAGGGTCATAATGCAAAACCCATATGCAAATCTTTGAAGACTGTGGCAGGCATTATTTAGGGACGAGAGCTCCGTGGAGTGAAGTGAGATTCTTATGTACATAATAAGAGACAGAAGAAGTGTCTTCCCTCGGTGCAATGGTGCTACCTGTGTAGGTGTCGCAGCAATTTTTAAAGCTGAAAACAAAGCACCACCTGGCCAATAGTTTTTTCCAACACTAATAATGTTGAAGGCGTTGTAAGGTGCCAAATTTTAAGGGGGGTTAAAACGTACTACGAATAAATGAACATCAGAACTTACCCGATTTTTAACCACAATAGCCTACTCCTAGGCCTATGTGTTGGCCATAGCTTGGGCTATGGGCCAAAGAACGTAGGCCTATTTTTATTCACAGTGAAGTACACAAACACATCCACAACTACATATTTATTCATAATAGCACTTCGCTTCACATAATAAAGTTAAACCGGCCGATTTTACAGATATTTAACGCCGACGACGACATAACCCCAAACTGGTGTTTATTTGTTGACAGACGACAGACGAAACTAGACCAGCTCAACAAGTGAATTCGATCAGCTGTTATCTAGTAGTACTAAAGTTCGCCGCTTGAGCGCGTAAGCCTCAAGCGGGCAGGAACGAAGGATTTTACTCCAAGACAGGATTATTCGTTCACACGCCGTCTACGAAGTAACATCGTCGTTACAAGACTACGCATTCCCGCCGATCGCCGATATTACGAAGGTTAGCTATTCTAATAGTTAGACCATTTCTACGTTTTACTTTATTTTCGTTTAACGCACGCATTCTCGTTTTACAACTATTCTCGTTTCAGAACTCGATCTTAAACCTCTAAATTCTAATAACTTCGTTTTCGCCGACCTGCATAAAACCCGCCAGTTCCTGCCTGCCAGTGACTAGGGGAGGATTATCTTACGTTTGGTTTTAAATCAATTGGCTACGAAATTACATTATTTGTTCCGTTCGCTTAAAGAATTATTACGTACGTTTATTTTAGTTAATTCGTCGTTTAATACCCCGAGACTTGTCGTCTTAGTTCTAAACCCCGTCTTTGGCGGGTGAAAGAATCAAGTCTTGGGAGCAGCTGATTTGAACAATCAAACAGCTACGAATATTAATGTTAAATCTATTTTAAATCATCCCACGATAAATTCTCCATTCGAGTATATTAATTAGGCCCGACGACTCTGCAGGAATTGCTTTTTACCTTTTATTCGATTTTATATTATTTACCTAGGCCTTTAGTTAATTAGTTTAAAGTTCATTACGAGTAATTGAATCACATTGGCTTCAGATTGAATACTCGTCGGCCCTACAGAGTCATTCAAAAAGTTAGGCAAAATTCTCCACAACACGTTAGCGAAGGCTGGGATGATATAGCTCCAACTGGGCGTCTGCAGGATTTCCTGAGCGCTTCTAGAGCTCTGAGCCTTCGATTAAATTTTAAATAAATTGATCAGTCAAAGCCGTGACAACTTCGCATCGACCCCTGGATTTTTCTCGGCTCCTTCTGAGCACTCCGGGGAAGAAATTTGAGTGTGGCCGGTTCTAGGGGTAGGCCTAGCCTGACTTGGTGAATACTAGTTTATTCCCCCCCTAGAATTTTGCGTCACAGCGTATCCATTCTAGATCTGTTGTTAAATCCACTTGCTTAACTCTTACGTTCCCAACCGGAGACTTGGGTTAGGGCCCCTAATTTAAACACGCCTAAAACAGAACACATCAAAGAAATAATTTAACAATGCTAGAATAAGAGTAGCGATGGTTGGCGTCAAGAGAGGAATTGAGCTACATTAGGTCAAAATTTCACTTTACAGTGTGTGGTTGACATCTACGTGCTCATAGAGTGCACCCGCCTACCATATATAAGAGATAACCAAAGCAGTATGAGAGTGAATGTAAATTTAAATATTGTAGATTACTTTTATATTTTTAACATCATAATATTTTTATATTTCTATAATCAGTGATATAAATTATTTTAGAGTGACTCTTTGAAAAAGGTCTTGCTTGCTGTTTATGTTTTTGTTCATTTTTTTTAATACAAGCTTCAGTTTTGCTCGATTTCGAGCAACGGGTTATCTAGTTTTAAATATTATATGCCAAATTCCACAAAAAACCATAAATTTAACAAAAATGGTAGAAAAAGTGCTTTTTTAAGAGCGTCAATTGCTGAATTAGCAATGAAGTTAAATGAGGAAATCTTGGTCAAAAATTCAAGCTCTTATGGCTAATCGGTTGGTTGCAATTGACAAATGCCCTGGTGTTAGACCGGTGGGTATAGGAGAAGTGCTCCGCCGTATCTTAGCAAAATGCATAATTCTTGCAGCTGGTGATGAAGTTATTGAAATATGTGGCACTGATCAACTCTTTGTAGGATTAAAAGCAGGAATTGAAGGTGCAATACATTTCATGAGAGACCAATATGAAGAAAAACGACAAACTGAAGAAGACAGCTGTATGATAATGGTTGATGCTGACAATGCCTTCAACAGGATAAACAGAGTTCATGCGTTATGTCAGGCAAGAATTAAATGGCCAAGGGCTGCACGATTCATTTTCAACTCATACCAGAGAAAGGCTGCACTAATTATGCCAGGAAGTAAAAAACAATTGAATAGCAGAGAAGGCGTTACTCAGGGAGACCCATTATCCATGATATTATATGGATTAGCCACTTTGCCGTTAATTAATGAATTAAAAACCATCACAGATACAAACCAAGTATGGTATGAGGATGACTCCATGTGAAGGAAAACTTTGCAATGTGATGAAATGGTGGGAGAAATTGGGCCTAAATATGGTTACTACCCACAAGCTCACAAAACCCGTTTGATTAATGGATCTGAACCATCAACATTAGACTTATCCAACATATCAGGATTAAAGATTGTTACTGGGAGTAGTTATTTAGGAGGATTTATTGAATGTGACAAAACTGAAAAAGATGTCTTTTTGAAAAGTGGAATAGTCATTTGGTAAGTCTGGCGAATGTAGCTGAAAAATACCCACAATCTGCACACACTGTTGCCACAAAATCCATACAAGCTAAATTGAATTTTTTTCAAAGAGTTGTTGAAAGTGAAGACATTAATTTTCATCCAATAAAAAACTTAATAGAACAAAACCTATTTCCTGCTTTATTTGGCTCTCACCTAAACCAAGATGAACAAAAAATATTACATCTGCAAGTAAAAAATGGAGGAATTGGTTTAGTTGATCCTACCGCTCAGGGAAAAGCATTGGTCCGAGCTTCAAAGAGATGTTGTAAATTCATTATAGACTCCCTTAAAACTAAGAGGAAAATAAATATGCAAGAACATGAAGAACATTTGATTATCTCAAAAAAGGAATTGAAAGAGGAGAGAAGATTAGAAGAAGAAAACATTTTGAAATCGACTATTCAAAATCTTCCTCTAAAACAACAAAAAATTATCTTGCGAGGAGCAAATACTAAAGCGAAACACAGTGGATGGCTGTCATGCATTCCTCTGAAAAAACTCAACTTAGATCTTTCTCCAAACTGGAGTTCAGAGATGCTCTTGCATTAAGATATGGGAAAACTCCTATACACCTGCCCTCTTCATGTGATGGCTGTGGCAAAAACTTCAATATGGAACATGCCCTTAACTGTCGCACAGGTGGTTTGATAATAAAAAGACATAATGATTACCCTTGGAAGCTTGATGGAGCTAGCATGGGGAAACTGTGTTCGAGAACCAATGATCTCTGAGCAAGGGTCATTTGATACTGCAGCACTAAAAGCAGACTTGGCTTGTAGGGGTGTATGGGAGGTTCAGACGGAAGCATTATTCGATGTACGTGTCGTTGACACTGATGCTCCATCGTACTTGAACCTCCCATACGAAAAAGTGTTGGAGAATGCAGAAAGAGAGAAGAAGAGGAAATAAACAATAACAGAAACCAGAAATGCATCTTTTACCCCAATAGTCACGTCTGTGGACGGAATGCTGGGCAAAGAGTTTCAGACCTTGCTCAGAGCAATGGCAGAACGCCTAACAGAAAAATGGAAGAAACCTTACAGTTTAGTGATGAACTGGATAAGGGTAAAAACCATCTGTGCGACGTTAAGGGCCAGCAGCATGTGTCTAAGGAGGACAAGGAAGAAGTGGAGGACCCTTAGAGAGTTTGAAGATGGGGCTGGAGTACCAGTTATTTATTAATTTAAAAAGCAAATGTTTTATTATTTTTCCATGTCAAAATTGTAATATAACTTATTATATTAAAGTGTTTTGGTCTAGTAAAAAAAATATCCCGTGATACATAAAACTTTAAAAATTGTAAATGCAGATTTTAATAATATGTTATAGGCTAAGCTTAGTTTTGACAAAGCAACAGAGAAATTAATGTCTCAGTTATTCCATAGATAAAACATACTCCCCCAAGTAGATTTCTCATCCTTATGCAACAGCTGAAGACAATTTTATTGTTAGTTCTGTACGGTTTATGTAGAGGTCGTGTTTTGTTTACAATTTGTTTCCAGTTATTACAGTCATTTAAAACCTCGTTTAACCAAATAATACGATCTTATTATAAACAATAACTTGTCTCCTAGTTATATAACCAAACAGTAAAGCACAAATCAAGAAATTAACCCTAAAATAATAGAAACAAAATTTTGTCGACACTAGCGCCCAGTGTCACCGTACATGAACTAGACACGAAAAACGTGCTTCAAAATTTACAATGGGATGACAAGTCTTCTACTTGTGTTGGTTAGTCTATGGTTATTCTTTGTCCAAACTAAGCTTTTAAGATATCATTGCAATCTGCATAAAATTTACTGAGTTTTCTGCCTAAATATTTTGTTATTCAAAGGAATGTTTAGCTAAAAATTTCAAGTATGAATCAAACAAATTAGGCAAACTATAAAATTACAAAACTAAAATTTGAAAAAATTTGAATTGCTGTCTTGGTTGAGCACTTGCATAGTTTTCTGTTTATCACATAGGTAGTGTTAATATTTTATGGATCTGTTACTCACCACGATCCTTATGATAAAATGATTAAACTCCCTGAAACCATCCTAAACTAACAGTGCTTTTACAGGGACTCCTGAAACCATCCTAAACTAACAGTGCTTTTACAGGGACTCCAAGTGAACGATCTACTGCTGGAGTTTGGTTCAGTGAACAAAGGTAACTTCAGGTCCATGCAGGATGTGGCTTCAGTGGTGCGGCACTCGGTGGGTCGACGTGTGGCTGTAGTTTTGCGCAGAGAAGGAAGACATTCGGCCATCACTCTGGACCTTGTACCTCAGTCGTGGGCCGGCCAGGGTCTCCTAGGATGCAAGATAGAACCTGTGCAAAGTGACTTAGTCGAGCGATGAGTGTTTAATTTGGTGACCAGGTTATGTTTGTGAGAGAACATTTTTTTTCTGAGCTGCATATTTTAGTTTCAATTTAAAATTGTATTACTGAATGTTAAATTATAAAAAAAAAAGGTTTTTGAAATGTTTTCTTTTGTGTTGTACTCAAATTTGGTACCTTAAAGAATTTTTTCTTCTTTTCACCTTAAATTTTCGTCCAATGGGCCTCAATGGGAACTTATCAAGCAGTGCAAGAGGTGAGCTGTCCAAAGTCCGCTAATCTGGATGTCTGGCTAACCTTTACCACCTATTTTATAACAAGGTAACTGTATTTTAATTGAAACAAAGCCAAATGTTCTAAAATACGTCAGTGTGTCCAGCTGACTGGAAATATGAATTTTGTATAGAACTGGGGAATTTGGAATAGTCGCCAATAGCCCAGCTAATGTCCATTCATGAACATTATTCCATTACTTTTTGTTTTGAGGATGTCTTGTAGTTTGAAGAACTCAATCACGGTTGATCATCATGGATATTTCTACCATCTCAGAAGACGACCACGACGTGATCATAGAAAATAATCACTACAGTACACTGTTTTTGACGCAATTGTAATGAATTTCTGGCTAATTCAAACAATCTGGTAACCTGAACATAGTCTTGTTTCAATGATATTGGATTGGTGGGAGTGAGACTCAGTTCTAATAAGTTTAAAGGGCAGCACCAATATACAAACCAGTGACTATATCGCCCCCCTTGGTTTCACAGTCCATCTTACAGCCACCTACTTACAATAAATTTGTAAAATTAAAAAGATGTACAAAATCCCCCTACCATATATCAAGGCTTTGCTTCACCTTACTGTTATTCCAGTGAATCAACTAGCTGGCTCATAAGGTAAAAAAAGTTAACTTTGCTGAAGCTACAAGGCATTTCATCCGAATTTGTCGAGTGACTGCACACAAACCAATAAGTTTTTTTATTGATAGACCAAGGCACCTGATAAATGCCTCTATAGTCCGTCTTCCAATAAGAGAAAGAATTTGGTAAGAGGATTGTTTTCTTACCAAGAGTTGTCCTTCTTACCCCAGAGAGCTCTTCACAATCAAAGAGCAGGTGATCAGCTGTTTAATCTAACCTACCGCAATTCCTACAAAGTGAAACGCCATCATACAATACAAACCCATACATTGCAGATGTTTTCTCAACCAACCATGTTTGGTTATCAATTACAGTGGCGGCGGAACCAGGGGGTCAGGGGGGTCAGTCGACCCCCCTGAAATTTTAGGAAGGGTCAGGGGGGTCAAGGGTCAGGGGTTCATGTAAAAAAAAATTAAAGATATAAAGCATTCTGTACTGTATACGTTTATTTTTTCGGCCCAAGAAGAAAAGTATAAGTAGGCCTAATAACAGTTACTGAAGATAAGTACAAAGATAAACAATTTAGTTATTAATAATAATCTATTACATTTATTATGAAGGGGCTTAATACTCACAAAACCTTATAAAAGTAATAATTAATTTAATTGATGTTCATGATCGTATTGGAATTTTGGAGAGTTAATTCCTGGAGAGTTAATTACTGACTTGGACAAGAAAAAGCTTACAAGCCAATTAAACCGTCTACAAGATTTACCAAAAAAGAAGGAAGTTAAAAGTGTACGTGATTTAGTTGTGACTTTAAATAGTGAGCCTCAAGAAAACAAACGATTTTTGTCTGAAGTAGTAAAGGTTGTCAAGTTACTGCTTGTCTTACCAGCGTCTGCAGCAACTGCAGAAAGAACCTTTTCTTGTCTTCGTCGCTTGAAAACGTGGCTGCGTTCCACGATGACGCAGAAGAGATTGAACCATCTTGCCATCTTATCCGCCCATAGGGACATTGCTAAATCTATTGATGATAAACACATTGCACGAATGTTTGTCAATAGAGTTGAAAGTCGCTGTGCAGTTTTCGGGAATTTCAAAGACTGAAGTTCAAGTTAGGGCCTACTGAAGTTTCATCAGCAGAAGTTTAAAAATCTAGTAAACTTGTAGTAGGCTAATATCTTGAGATTCTACTGTGGGATTTTACTTATTTTAGCAATAATTCATCAAAAAGGTTTTGTATTTCTTAGTAATTTTATGTTGTGCCAATACAATGTTTGTAATGTTTTTTGTGTAAACCATTATTTAGCCCCAGTGGACACACTTACTTGGTTATACCCTACCGTCTTACTTTTGTGATTAACTATAATCAAGCAGCCAATTTTAATTTAACTTATTATTAATTCAGTTTTGAGGGGGAGGGGCAGAGCCTGCCGAAATTACGCGAACACATAAATCCCTAGGGCTTATAGCTTGTTTACTCTTCTCTGTCATCTGCAGCAACTCATTGCTGACAGCTTTAGTAAAATCTGGGCACCAGTACTTCATTTTTTTGTTGTTTTTTGAGATGTGTGTGTATTATTTATTATAATGTTTTTATAATGAACAGAGTAGCGTCTTTGTTAAATTGTAAATTTTCTTTGATACTGCTTGAAGAAAAATGTTCTTCAGGTAGCCTAAAAACACGTTTTAAGGCTTTTATTTTTCAAAATTTTTCCGGGGGAGAACCCCCGCACCCCCCTTGTCCCCTGGGGGGTATTCCATACCCCCCAGACCCCCCGGATGTGGGCCTCCACCATAGGTTTCTGACCCCCTAACAACAATTTGCTTCCGCCGCCCCTGATCAATTACACTGTGTGTCTAATTCTTTGCCTATCCAGTCTCAAATTGTCTTAAGTAACCCACTTTGATGGTGTGTGAAAAGTAAGCTTACTTACTTTGAGAAGGAGCATTTCAGCCGAACGTTTACCATAAAAATAATTTACTACCTTAATAATACCTTTAAAATTGCCTATCATCATCTTCAGTTTAATTTACTAACTCTAGCCTCCTGGGTATATGATATTGTATTGATGCCTATTGTCATAGCTCTTACAAAGGCTTGAACACAGAACAAACCACATGAAGCTTCAAGGCCTGCGGTTTGCATGTGAGGTGCTATGGGCCCGAGGGATAATGGCACCCCTCTCCACCTACCTCGTGGGAAAATGTTTCTCTTTCTTACTCCCCCAACCCAAAAAAAACCGAAAAATCAATTTAAAAAAAACTCTGTTTTGATTGAGATTCGTCTCTTTTGGCCCTTATAATTCTAAACTAAATAGTGCAACCCCCATTCCTGTAAAAATTATGGTTCAAAGTGAATGCAACTTTTGTGATTTTACCTATTAAATATCATAGTTGTGTTTTCTATTATCAATCTCTCATCGCTTACCCATGATGAAGGTTGACAAGCTAATGGGAGAAAGTATATACAGTAGAACCTCTTTAATCCGAACTAATTGGGACCAGGGGTAGTTCAGTCTATTAAATAGTTCGGATTACAGAACATATTGTTGTTTTTACATAACAATAGCTAAAACATGCCTAAAATTGATCAAAATTATTTTGGGAAAAGTGAAAAAATGTTTTATAAAGTAAAATAAAGTGTTTATTTAATATAGTAGTAAACATGGTGAATAAACAGTACTGTAAATTAAATACAGTATACAATAAAAAATTGCTGAACTGTGTATAGAGTACAGCAATGGAGGGGTTCGGATTAGTGGACGTTCGGATTACAGGGGTTCGGATTAAAGAGGTTCTACTGTATCGGTAAAATCGCTGACAAGGCTTTAGAGTAATGTTTCTCATCAAATAGAAGTTTTAATTTTTCTATTGACATTAGTATTTTGAACTGCATAATATTTAACTTTTTCAAATAGATGGTAAAAATAAAAGTCTAACAGTTTTACAAAGATGTCTCATCACTGTATATTTTCATTTCATTATACAATATACATAAATTCAATTCGTAACATTTATAATCTGCATCCTTACAGTTTTTAGATTGATCCGACTAGAATATATGATTAAAATCATAGGTACTTATTTGCTTAAGGAAGGCCAGAGGTTAGGTTTCCTATGAGGACCTGTGCTTCGGCATTCCTCAAACAGAAAAGTGCCTTACATACTCTCCCATGACATAATCATGTATTTGAGCACATTAGCACAAAGCACAAACTCGAGTAAAGAACAAACAGCAACATACAGAACTCATTGTTCAATACATTAACAGGTTCTATAACACTAGGCAACTTAAAACCTCTAATATTACATAACATATTTATAACAAAACTTACTTTGTAAGTATCTAAATAATATTCCAATGCAATACTATACAATTTTGCAAGATTCGTTATTTTGGGTAAAATAGACATCACAGCAAATCAACTACTACTCACAGCAGTTCCTTCTTAGATTAACACAAAATCATTCCCAGGTACTTTATCACAAATTCCACAACCAAACAAAATGTGTCAGGACGATGAATCAAAGTTATGGTTTTATGATAAGAATTTGTATTTACCAATTTACTTAAGCGTCAAAAATTATTATAATTAAAGAATACTTCATAGAAAGAATAGGCCTGCACTCAATATACTGTAGAGACAAAAAGGATCTTGTGAACCAGTTTTAGGACAAGAGCACTTTCATACACAGTTAACTTTTTATAGCACATTTTTAATCAAGCTCCATTTTATGCATTTTGTGCATTTTTTAACTCTGAACACTTGAAATAAGAAACATTTAATGTCTCTTTAACACAAAATCTACAATAACGTGTTATTGTTGTAATAAGGTTTTTATAAACTAAAATAAGAAGTTTTGAGTTACGGTGGACTCGTGCTTAAACAATGCAGAAGTGAACCTTTTTGAAAAAATTTGAAGTAGATTTTATGATATAGCTTTTTCACAGTACCGTAATATCCCTATTTTGGTTTTTTTACACTAATGGTTTGAGGTTTTAAACCGGTGTTTAGTCATAGTTCCACCGAGTTAGTTTAAATTAAATAATAACTTTTAAGTGCACAACTTAATTTTTAAATTCTAGTGTTAAAAACTATATTTCACCTCTTTTTAACAATACATATTAGAACCCAAAGATTTATTTTCTGGTGCAGGAAGAAGACTCTTAAATCACTTAATACTAGATCAATACTCAAATTCCTTGTATCACATAACATTAACACACTAATATTTATGTGGAAAATACTATGTTAAACAACTATAACAGAGATAGGTATAT